CGATGTCTCCTTGACGATGTCTCGTTGATGATGTCTCGTTGACATCATTTGCCAAGACACATCACTCTAAGCTAACAATGATAAACTGATTCTGCTGAACTCTATCAATCCAAAGAATTCAGTTTAGAGAAAAGATGTAGAATCATCGCTCAATTACGAGATAAACAGAAGGATTTAAGAAGACGAAGAACTTCCGTAAAAGCTATCGAAACTTAAAACTAAAAAACCTTCTTTTAACTTAAAACTATCAAAATTACGCTTTTAATTAATCAAATTTCAAACAAGATTTTATCAAAAACATGACAAAAGAAAAGCCTTATTTTTTTCATTTTTAAAGAAACTTATGCAAAAAAAACTATAATTTGTTTAGTAATTAAGTGATTCTAATGGAAAACTCTTCCCTCTGCAAGCCTTCAATTTCCCCTCTGCAAGCCTGCTTTTCAGATAAACTTACAATTGTTACAATACAATATAATTAACCAAATCCGGTCGATAAGACGGAATCACGATCTCGTCTCTTTTGCCATGGAAATCCAAACACTTTTCAACGAAAAATAAATGAGTGAAAGGTGAATGAATTTGTGTCGGTTGGGGACGGTCAGGAGACATCTAAATGGCAAGTATTATCGTTGGCTTATAGTCCTGCCTTGGTTAATGCGTTTTCTAAAAGATGTCATCGTTTTCCCGATTCACATAATCTTGTCTCTAGTTTAATTACATTTCTTTCTTTTCTATTAAAACAATTTCAAAGTCGGACAGAACATCGGACAAAATCGGACAAAATCGGAAAATTTTCGTTTGATTCTCTGATTCTCTGATTCACAAAGGATATCGAAAGATATAAAATGTTGATAAAACTAGAGACAAGATTATGTGAATCGGGAAAACGATGACGGGAAAACGATGACGGGAAAACGATGACGGGAAAACGATCTTTTAGAAAACGCATTAACCAAGACAGGACTATAAGCCAACGATAATACTTGCCATTTAGATCTCTCCTCCCCATATTTTGTGTCTCTTCTCCTCAACCCTTTTCTCTCACTCATCCCCTTCTCCAATTCATTTTCATTTCAAACATTTCCCCCCACCAAAACCAATTGTCTTTCCCCAATCTTTTTTAGGTTTTTTCTTTTTCTTTTTCTTTTCCAAATCAAAAAAGCTTTTATAGGAATGACCGGAAATCCATTTTTCTTTTAGTTGTCTACTCATTGAAAATATTCACCAAAATAGGAAACTTTCGAGGATTTTAGTAATTGGAATACAATTTTATTCGATTATCAACTATGTCAGACGATTTTTGTAAGTCGATTGATGCTAAAAAGTTTGTATTGTCTACTCAACTCTTTGTTTGTTTACAATTGATTTCAATTGTTTTAAGTTATCATTACAATACACAAATATCATTACCGAGTGCTTGAAGATACAAGAAAACATTGGTCGTTGTCCGACAAGCGATTGTCCCTTTTCCCTCCAAATCATTTTTCCTTGCCGCATTGAAAGCGGCTAGTTGGTTCTTCGATCGGATCAACACGAAATCATTGGTGTCCTGAAATGAGTCGTTTAACTGAATAGTATCCCGTAATCTGGTACTACATACTGTATAAGTCAGAAGTGTTAAAATCTAGGATACCTACACTACTGGACAATGTAATATCATATTTGAAAAAAGATCATAGCTTTCGCGCGTCTGTAACTCCCTTGTCTTTACAGTATTTCTAAACATTAATATTACCATTGTGTAGCCCTTGAAAAGAGCTTTCAGAAAATGTATAACACTAATAGTTTAAACTCAAAGACAAGGGCTACAGACGCGCGAAAGTGACGATCGTTTTTCAAATATGATATTTCATTGTCCAGTACTGTATGTCTGATGATTTTCTTTTCTATTTTGATCGCCTTTGGTCAACAATCATCCATCAGTTTTGCCCAAAAAAACTATTATCCAATAATCTTTTTCAATTTTTTGTTTACTCTTCCTCAATTAAATTCCAATTTTAACCCTTATTTTGTGTTTGCATTTCAGAGTTTTTCAGAGTTTTTCAGAAATTTTCAATTAAACTTTTTTCTTTTTCTTTTTGATCAAGAGCTCTCACGTAGCTCATCGCTCATAAATCTTTTCTCTCTAAACCGGAAACATTGAGCTAAATTCCTGAATTACAAAGAATTTGTAAGAATTGAATCCTTTTTTTTCTCAAATCTTTTTGAAACGGAGAAGAAAATTTCTCTATTTTTGGATCAGCAACCCTTTTTTTCCCTACCGATTTCCCGATTTTGAAAAATTGCCAAGATAAACACTTCAATGTGACTTTTTTCACGGGGAAAACGGATTGGATTCAATGGAAATTTCCGGGAAAACACTCAAATCTCGAACTAAACTTTTTGGGAAAACACTCAAACAAAAGATTTGAGCTAAGAACCAAAAACAGACACAACATGAGATCGAACCCGAGCCGAACCAGGTAGCCCACCGCCTCGTAAACGACCAGCTAACCGATTGTGCCATACCAGCGGCGTGACGGCCTCAATTTTTTTTCTAACTAAGGAAGTGAATTGAGAAATAGACTGTCTAAGAGAAAAATCTGGGTCGTGATTAATTGCTTGTATAGCACAGTCGGTTAGCCTGTCGTTTACCGGGCGGAGGCTACCGGCTTCGGCTCGGGTTCGTTTCCACGCGGAATCTTTTTCTTTTTTAAGCCCAAATCTTTGTAAAAGTTTGATTAAGCTAACGTTTAAAAAAAGCCTAATCAAGTTCACAAGTTCATTTCTCTACGTCACTCCGACAAAATTTTCGTCAGATTTTCCCTATATAAACCCCAACAAAATCACCATTTTTCTCACCGAGCAGAAGCGATTCCGGGATGGAGAAAGGCATGCTTTCATTGATGGTCGTAAAAAATGTTTAATGAAATGGAAACGATCACAGAATTTACAGCAGATTTACAACCCGATTGACGCTTCAGATAACAGCAATTTGAAGAAGATCCTGGAGAAGGAAAGGAAAGGAAAGGAAAGGAAAGGAAAGGGAATGAAAGGAAAGGAAATGAAAGGAGATCGTTCTGCGTGTGATCGGAATCGGGTGATCACAATGATTTCTGGTGTTTACTTGCCCAGTTTTGCGCTTTTCTTACTGTAATCGTTTTCTTTTTCTTTCACTTTTTAACTTTACAAATTAGTTTTTAAAGTTAGATTAGAATTTTGCATTTCCTTACAGTAATCCAGATCTTTAGAAGTCTTCCTTCATTAACCCAGATCTTTAGAAGTTTTCCTTCCTTAACCCAGATCTTTAGAAGTCTTCCTTCCTTAACCCAGATCTTTGGAAGTCTTCCTACCTTAACCCAGATCTTTGGAAGTCAAAAATTTATCGTTCTTTTTAAGTACATTAACACAATCAAGAACTTACAAGAACGATAGATTTCTTCTTTTTTCGATCTTGGTTACTCTAATCGTTTCCTTTTCTCATTTTTTCTTTTAAATTTTCTGTTAGAATTATTCACGTAACTTTGCCATTCACTGAAATTACGGTAACTCATTTTGAAGCGTTTTCAAGTTAAGGGTTAGTGTAGCTGATTTTTGAAAATGTAAGCCTTTTATTTTGATTCTTCTAACCAATCTTATATCTTTTTGTTCTGATAAATAATCTTATATCTTTATCTTTTTGCAATTATATTATAAAAAATGAAAGTTAAATCGATTTGTAGTTGATTTTTTTAATTTTAAAATTTTTGACTCTTTTTCCCTTTCTGTCCTATGCAATTGAAATGTTCTTTGCTGTTAAAATGTCTAAAATTGAAAATGTTGCTTTTGATTTGAGTTTGATCGAGCATTTTCCTCTATTAACTGAATGTCCTTCATGTTTAACAGACAATAGACAACTTTAACAACTCATTGACAACTCATTGACAACTCAAAAAGCTTGCTAAGCTATCAAATCCTTTTCGTTGACTGATTGTATCTCATTACTCATTTCTCATAGCCGCCTAGCGTATTCTCTTTTTGTCTCATCGCTTTGTCTCCGTGTTTTTTCTGATGTCATCGATTTCTCGTGGTTGTTGAACGGATGACGTCGAACGGATGACAAAAAATGGAAACCCGTTTCCTAAAATAGGAATTAATCTGACATAACTGACAGTAACCCTGTCAGTTATAGTCCCTAAAAGGTTCCTACAGTAATCTCAAACAAAACCTGCCCAGCTACAGGTTTCTAAACGTTGTTTTTTGTTGAACGGATGACGTCAACAACAAAAAATGGAAACCCGTTTCCTAAAATAGGAATTAATCTTTTGAAATTGGAGTCTGATTTTTGAAAGCCATTGAATCCATTGAATCCATTGAATTTCTAATTCTACAGATTTGAAATCCATTGAATCCTACAGCTTTCTAAAAGTTCCCTTTCACTTCAGTAACTGCAAATGACAGTAACCCTGTCGGTTTTAGTCCCTAAAAAGCTCCTACAGTAATCTCAAACAAAACCTGCTCAGCTACAGGTTTCTAAAAGTTACTCTTCCCTATTGTAACCCAAATCAACTTTCAAAAAACTGTTTCTACAATGAAATCTTAAACTTAATGAAATCTTAAACTTAGATTTATCTAGTTATTTATCTATTTATCTATTGCCAAATTTAGTATTTAGATTTATCTATTTTTTACCTTTTCTATTAGGTTTTTGCTGTTTTTACCTTTGAATTTTTAAAATTTTAAAACTTTTTTCTTCTCATTTTCTCATTTTCTTTCTTATTTTGTTCTCAAAATTCTTTTTTTTTTGAAAAACTTTATCAAATCGATTTTATTTTATTTGAATTCAATAGATTCAAATGTTGAATTCGCTTTGAATTTTTTTTCTTCAATCCGCCCCCATTTTTAAACCGTCTCTAATCCTCTGGAGGGAAAAAGTTAATCACCTCTACCGAGAATTCATTTGATGGAGAAATTGATCATGAACTATTTCCCTTTTATAATATTCATATAAAATCTCGTTTCAGCTTTGTTTTCATGCCGAAATGCACGCTATGCAGATAGTATTCACTTTGCTTTTCGTCGTCAATTCGTTATTTTTCGTCAACGAGGCGAGAATTTTGTCGAGACGATCCAGGAATTTGCGGGTTTGTTTATTGATGAAAAGAAAACCTTTTTCCTTTCAAGAAAACCTTTTTCCTTTCAAGATAACCTTTTTCCTTTCAAGGAAACCTTTCACTTCTAAACCTTCTGAATTTGAGCTCAAAATCAATTTGATCTCTTTTGAGGCACTATTCTTGACTGCACTGTACTTATGTACATCTAAAATAAAATAATAATGATTTGATCTGTCTTCGCACTTAGCGCAGATCACAACCCGCTTCCACATTTACTGAGGCAGAAGTGTAGTTGTCGTAGCCGATGATACTCCGATGGCCGGGCTGGGGCGCTCGGAGGGGAACCCATGGGAGTCGAACCCACGACTAACCCGCGCCGACGTTGCTCAACTTGGCAGATCGGACGGGGTCGACCACAGACCCTTCCCTTTCTGGGCCCCTTATGTACATCTATCTCCCATAATTGGAAACGAGTTTGATGTCATAATTGGAGAAATCTTCTAGTTGATAATAAGAAAGCTAAGTAAAGAAAAGTGAACTTTTTTAGCTCAAAAGAAGTATCAAGCTTTTGAAAGAATTGTAGATTGTTTAAAGTTTGACTAATTGTTTTAATGAGCTAAAGATTTGGCTAGAGATTTGATTAGAGATTTGATTAGAGATTTGACTAGAGATTTGACTAGAGATTTGATTAGAGATTTGATTAGCTTTCTCTTTTCATCAAAACAGCTGATCAGATCGAATCACTGAGGTGAAAGTTGAGTGGAACCAATCAGTTTTCACTCGATCGGAAAAAGACAAGGAAATTCGATCTTCGAAAAGATAAAAGAGATAAAAGATATAAAAGAGATAATTAGATAAATTAGAGGATTGGAGAAAAGCCAATTTTGAGTGAAATGAGCGAGTGAAAGTTGATGAAAGAAAGGAAGAAAAATGAGGGAAATTGAGTTCGATACTCGGTTCGGTTTCACTTACAATTCGGGGTAAATTGGAATATGATTCTTTAGCAACATCTCTTTATTTGATCATACAGTATTATCGTGTATTCAAAAGAGCACTCATTGTCCGTGCTTCAGTTTTCTAGTGTTTTCTATTGATACAAAGCATTTTATATAAGGAAAAAGTGCACTAGAGAGGGTGTGTTTATCATTTTTCAACAAAAGAACACTTTTAACAAAACTGGTCTATAAAAATGAGGTCTATAGGTCTATAAAAATCAAAAAAAGCCATCAAACTACGATCTATAGCTTGGGAGATACTGTAAAGTCTCAAATTTTCAAGACAAACTACATTCTGCCAAGATTAAAGTATTTAGGGGTAAATAATTGAATAGTTTATGCTTTACACTTAAAAATTTGAAAGCTATTTCAGCCTTGTCACCTGAATTTTTCACTCCTAGGGTATTGTAGTTACTGTACTTAATGTATTTAATGTACTTAATGTACTCAATGAAACAAGATACAGCTACTCTACTGTACCCAACTTCTAATACTTGAGCATTATAACTTAAGTTCTTCACTCAAAGTTTTCCTTTTCAGTTGGACCCACACTTCCAAGACTATTTCAATAGTGAGAGTGACGAGGTGGCCAGCATTGAATACGATGATGATTTGGGGGATTCGATTCGAGATTTTGAATCTCATCTCGACAAATTGCGCAACTCGTTGCTCAGTAAGAAAAATGAGAAGTCTAAAAGCAATTACATTTTAGATGAGCCAATTCGAAAAGAGAAAGCGGTCACTTTCGAGTTGCCGAAACCGACGAGTTCGATCGAGAGAAATTCCCCAGGAATTGCCATTCGAATCACCGATCACGCTTTGGAATATGTGAAAGAGGTGAGTCAATGCACTTGGAAATTGATAGAGTACTGTAAATAGGGCTTTTTTTTGGGTGAATGCCGTAATCACACTTTTTGTCTAACAATAAGTTTAGCTAAAATATTGTAGCGAATTAGGAGTTTACTTTCCTAAAATTAGAGATCTATTAAGCCATTACAGTAGCCAGTAAAATTGTCAAAAAAAGTAGTAGACGTTGAAGCATTCAGTAAAGGTTGTTGAACCTATTAAACCAGGGTTTATTGTAAGTAGTACACTGTTTAGGTAACTACCGTAATTCTGGTTCTAATTTTTGTTCGATCTAACTGAAGTACAAGAGAGCCAGGGCTTACTGTAGACCAGGCTTACTGTAGTCAAAGGCTTACTGTAGTCAAAGGCTTACTGTAGGCTAGGGCTTACTGTAGGCTAGGGCTTACTGTAGGCTAGGGCTTATGTAGGCTAGGGCTTACTGTAGGCTAGGGCTTACTGTAGGCTAGGGCTTACTGTAGGCTAGGGCTTACTGTAGGCTAGCGTAATTCTGGTTCTAATTTTTGTTCGATCTAACTGAAGTACAAGAGAACCAGGGCTTATTTTAGGCCAGGGCTTACTATAGGCTAGGGCTTACTGTAGGCTAGGGCTTACTGTAGGCCAGGCTTACTATAGGCCAGGCTTACTGTAGTCTATGGCTTACTGCCGGCCAGAACTCGTTGTATCACTTTTTCTTAGATCTGATCAGAGATATTCAGAAATCTCTGGCCATTCTCCGGCATGATGTCATGCGAACTCATCCACCACAAATCGAGATCATCCTTCTTGGCGCAAATTTGACGATCGACGAGATAAAAGTGGTCGGATTCGAGGCACCGACGTTGAAAACTGAGGTAGAATTTTGAAATTGCAAAAAAACTTATAGAGATATGCAAATTTTCGAATGAAAAATAGCTTAAAAACGACTCTTACAACACTTTCTGACTTTTAGGGTCTCGCCGACGGCGTTTTTCGCATTCAAACGAGCGGTGGTGAGGCAAAAGTGAGCGCTTTTTTTTTGTAAAAATGAAATTTCTTAATGTTAATAATACTAATTTTTCTAAATCTTGGTAAAATTCAGATTCGCGGCTCGTACAAAAATATTTTCAAAACGGTGCGCGAAGGGCAATTCGAGGCGCTTCTTTCCGGCTTTGATCTTGATTTCAAATTCAAATACATGAAAACATTCGATGGGCGGCTGAAGGTTGGTTTAATCGAATTGATGGCCTCAAAATTGTTTAGATTTAAAATTCAAATACAGATTTTCCAGCTGATCGATCAGTCGTGTCAATTCGCGTTGGAAGCTGTGACCGTACTCTTGCAGCCCGAGTTGGCGCCACCGTTTTCTGAAAAATTCAGGTAACTTTGCGTTTAATTGTGTACTTTGTGTACTTTGTGCACAACTGGGTAAACGCAAAGCTCTGGTGCACTGAATTCTTCATTTTTCTTGTGGTATGAAGCCTTATTTCAAGAGAAATGAGGAACTCTGTGCGCCAGAGAGGCTGCGCTCCTGCTCCAGAGAGGCTGCGCTCCTACTCCAGAGAGGCTGCGCTCCTGCTCCAGAGGGGCTGCGCTCCTGCTCCGGAGAGGCTGCGCTCCTGCTCCAGAGAGGCTGCGCTCTTGCTTGAGCACAAAGTATTCTTGATTTGAGCCAAGCCAACCCTTTATTTAATCCCAAAACCATTCTTGTCATTTTCCAGGAAGTTCTCACCAAACGCCTTTACTCAGCGATTTGTCCCAGCTTGGAAACGTCGTTGAATCGTTTAGTCAATCAAATGCCATCGCTTGTCCATTTCTTCAACCCAATCGATTCGGCCAAGCATTTCAGGTGAATTTTTGAACAATTGTTTCAAATTGTTTGAACGAAGCAAATGTTTCAAACACAAAATTCTAAATAAAAGAAATTTCAGTCAAGAAGTTGGTTTCGATTCTCGAGTGACATCTGAGCCGATAATCACCTCAAAGTTTACACAAGTAGGGATTCGAGGAGAGTTCACGAGCAATCGCACACAAATCGATGATGAACCGGCTGTGCTAGAGGTGAGGAAATGGTGCTTTGTGCTTTCGTAAACCCGGGCCTCCCTGATGCACTTGATTCCTCGAAAACAGCATAGACCTCTTGTAAACGTCAAGCGTTTTGAGTGTGCCAGAAAGAGCGCGTTTATGCCGGCACAAGGCTACGATAGGCTTTAAACTGTATCCGTTCTAGCTTCGGTTCATCAACTCATTGCTACACCTTTTTTTTTCTTACAAAACCATTTTAGACCTCTCAAGCTGACACCGAAAAAATGGTCTACACCTATATCTCTGATCATTCCGTTTCCACGTTTCTCCGCCAATTGTCGACTTTCGGTGATGTGAAATTCAATTTACATGTGCTGCCCGAGATCGCCGATTTTCTGAGGCCACAATGCGCGAAATTTGAGCTCTGCGTTGGGCAATTCGCTGATTTACAGACCGTCAATCCAGCATCAGGTATAGAATTGATTAAATACGGTAGATTTAGATAGATAGATAAAAATTTTGCTCGCTAAGAATTGATTAATCTTACGGTAGATTTATTAGGTTGAAAAGAAAGTTCTCGGAAAAAGTTTGACTGGAATTTCTTAAGAATGAATCCACCAATTCAAGAAGATTTTGTTCTATTATTTACAAGTCGACTCTAAGAAATTACTCGTAAAAAAAATGAGTGCAGCTTTCCCGCAAAGAGAAATCACTGTGTGAAATCACTTTTTGAGAAATCACTGTGCAAACTTTTTCCCAGAACTTTCTTTTCAACCTAATAGATAAATAAATGTAAATCCCAAAATTTCAGGACGATTAGTGGTTCGATCAAGAACGCCTCCACGAATTCGTTTCCATCAAGGAGCTGCTCATATTCATCTGAAAACTTCCGTTGAAATGAGGTAATAAACAAGTTTTGAGAACTAAACACCTTCTAGTTAGACCAAATAGCTTAAGATCATGACTGGTTTACTGTAGAACATTGGCAGAGCATTTGGTTTTTTAGTATCATTCATATCTTGATTTCTAACTGACTAATTACAATTTAGTTATCGAAAATCGGATGAGCTCTTTGTCGTTGATGAGATCTATGCGAAATTCGACGCCGATTTGTCGCTGAAATTGAGTCACTTGAGGGTGATCAAATCGTTGAAAGAGGGACATTATGAATGGACAGCAAGAATACATGTTGATGAGATTTCGGTGAGTAAAAACGATACTAATCTAACCATTAGATGTAGAGATAAAGATGCAATATCTAAATAGATAAATTTTAGGTAGCTTAAGGTAGCCTAATAGCTTAAGATCATAACTGGTTTACTGCAGAACATTGGCAGAGCATTTGGCTTTCTAGTATCATTCATATCTTGAATTCTATTAGGTTGATGCATAAGTCTTTTTGTTCCTTTTCGTCTGCCGTTTCAAGCCAACAAATGCACCAATTAAACTACGGTTGATTTCATTAGAAAAAGCAATTATTTTTCTGCAAAATAACATTAAAACGGGTTTAAAAATATTTTATGCCTGGATTTTCTTGAGAGTATGAAGTCGGGTAGTCAAAAAGGGCTAACTCGATGATGCGGTTTAGACACCTTAGCTAAAGAAAACCTATCTTCGTGTCAATAGATAAAAGATAGAGAAAAAAAACGTTTGATATTTCGCCAAAATTTCAGAGAAATTCATTCAGCCAATTTTTCCGTAGTTTTTTATAGATTTTTACGAAAAAGGCGTTTTTCACTCTCGAATTTGCTTGAAAGTGAACCGAAATTGATTTAAAAAGATGGAAATTGAACAAAAAACACTTTTTTTATAGAGCAAACTATAGATTAATTGGTGAATTTGTTACTTTTTAACAGAAGTTCGAAAAAAACGAAAAGACTTATGCATCAACCTATTAATTGACTAATAACCTGCAATATCTAAATATATAAATTTTAGGTCGACAACGCGTTGGCCTTGAACGACAAGATGACGAATTTCGTCGAGAACCTCCCATCAATCATGAACAAATCGAGGAAATTTTTGGAGGTGAGCAATCGATTTTAAGTATTGAGCTAAAAGCTAAAATAAACTCAATATCTACAGAAAATTACCGTAACTTTTGTAGACTTTGATCTCTTCGAATCTTCGCTCATCCCTTCCATTGTCTTTGTCGAAAGCGATCGACTTGGAGATGATTTCGACGGAATTCCGCGAGCGAACCCTCGTCGTTTCGTTTAATCTGAACATTGAATCTCGTTTATTTCCCCATTTGAGTTTCGTCAATTGAAAAGTGGACAGGTTACCGTAACTCGTTACAGGAGTTGATAACTGAAATCTTCAAATCTTGACTGAAATCTTGACTAAAATTTCGCTTAAACAAGTCTAGCTAAGTGCTAGTGATTACTGGTTACGGTATTCTCACACTATTTCGATAATATTTCCTATATCCCTTTCCCCGCAAAATGATCTCCCCGTTGTGCCAAAATCTAGCCATCCCCAGTCAACTGCAGTATTACTATATATGAAAAGATTGCAAATTTTGAAACAATAGTTGAAGACTTACTGGTACATTCATCTAGTCTTTTAATCGTCATAAACACTCCGTCTTTTAATTTTCTAAAAGGTGCTCTTTGATGAAAGCTACCGCACTTCGATTGCCTTTTTAAAAGTTTGACTCACTATATAGTCGTTTTCATCGTTAATATAACACGTTTACGATAGCTTTTCCTAAGCGCACCTTTTAGAGAACGTCAAAGGAGCACAGTCTAATAGAATCCAGAAAAATCCCAAAAAGTTGATCTTCAAAATAGCTTTATCTTTTCATTTCCCTTTTTTATCTTTTGTGAATCGATCTCCGATGCGTTCGGCATAATTTCTGTAAATTATTTGGTGAGCGAAAATGTTTTGTGATTTTGTTTGCATTGATGTCTGTGAAACAAACGTTGTCGTTTGAGAAATAAAACTGATGAGATTTTGTTTGAGATTGATCGAAACAAGACACACGAAGAACACCTCGTTGTTAAAGAACTCGAAACTTTCAATTTAAATATCTACATGCCTGTTTATTGTTAAATTTTGTATGCGAATCGTATGATAAACATAAAAACAACGACTAGGATTCGTGTAGTTTTGTTACCGGTTCTGGGGCGGGCTACTTTACACTTTACGCCGAATTTTTTGCGCAATTTGCCATAACTTTCTTCTAAGTGAGCCAATCTTTATGATTTTAGTGTCATTTTGTTGCACTTGTTGTGAGATCTACAAACTAACACTAAAATCATAAAGATTGGCTCACTTAGAAGAAAGTTATGGCAAGTTGCGCAGAAAATTTAGATTTTGTTTGAGATTGATCGAAACAAGACACACGAAGAACACCTCGTTGTTAAAGAACTCGAAACTTTCAATTTAAATATCTACACGAATGTTTACTGTTAAATTTTGTATGTGAATCGTATGATAAACATAAAAACAACGACTAGGATTCGTGTAGTTTTGTTACCGGTTCTGGGGCGGGCTACTTTACGCCGAATTTTTTGCGCAATTTGCCATAACTTTCTTCTAAGTGGGCGAATCTTTATGATTTTAGTGTAATTTTGTAGATCTCAACAAATGAAACAAATGAAACAAATGAACAAAAGAAATGTACTAGTGATGGTCAAGAAAGAGTTATGCAAGTGGACGGTGGCTACTTTACGTCGAATTTTTTGCGCAACTTGCCATTACTTTCTTCTAAGTGGGCCAATCTTTATGATTTTAGTGTCATTTTGTTGCACTTGTTGTGAGATCTACAAACTAACACTAAAATCATAAAGATTGGCCCACTTCGAAGAAAGTTATGGCGAGTTGCGCAAAAAATTTAGCGCAAAGTAGCCACCCCTCCTCCGGATTTTTAATAAAGATAAAGACTGGAAGGAAAACTTTTTAGTAAAGAGCAGTAAATTATTGTTTGTAAGAAAGAGGAATAACATAACAATTTATAAACCAACTCAATTAATCTATTGAACGAACGAAGATCATCTTCACACATCTACAACTTCAGCTTGGTGCGTCTCCAGTGTCTGCGCTTTGCGTTGTATTTGATCTAGATTTAAAAACAAAACATGGATATTTCAAAAAAATCTGTCGTACCTTGTTTCCAGTCTTCATTCGTGCCCACTGAGGAAGCGGTCGATTCTGCTTGGCGGCTTTGGCCAGCTTTCGCTTGATGATGAACGTCTTATGAGCAGCCATGTCAGCTAAAAAAAAACAAAAATTTATTAAAACATTCGAAATTATATGATTTGGGTGAATAAAAAAAGAAATGGGGAGGTAGTCAAATGAGCGCCAAAAATTGAGCGCCAATCATTTCAGCGCCAATCATTTTAGCGCGCGTTCATTTCAGCGCCGCACCAAAAATGACTGGAAAACATTCATTTCAGCGCCGAATCAGCCCATTCTGTATATGCATGTTATTTTTGCATTTTCTGCATGATCTCAAAGTTTTTACTGTATGTTTTTATCTAAATCATCTAAAGATAAAAATAATTCTTGGCAGCAAAATAAACCAAAATAAATCATGAACAAAACGTTACTTTGACTCAGAGTGTTCCTTTGTCTCGCCACTTCTTGCGCAGTTCACGAGCCTAAGCAAAGAACTATGTTAACTGTAAGCAAATTGTAAACGAAAACGGCAAGAAACGGTGAAAAAGCATGCTATTGGGGGAAAATATCATACAACTAGCAAATTTACACATTTTCATCAAAAAAACCTTAAATACGAGCTAATCTAACAATTTTTTCCGCGCATTTGATGCCTACTACCGTGCCCTAGGTCAAATGAGTGAAAAAAAAGTGTAAAAACAGAAGCAAAACCCTAAAAAACATGCAAAAGCAGCGTAGAAAGCAAAAATATTAAAATTTAGTCGCGCTGAAATGAACGTTTTCCAGTCATTTTTGGCCCGGCGCTTAAATGAACGTTTTTAGGCCTTTTAATTTGGCGCTCAAATGATTGTTTTCCAGTCATTTTTGGCACGGCGCTCAAATGAGTGGCGCTGAAATAAGCGTGAGCCAAATCGTTGGCGCTGAAATGATTGGCGCCCAATTGTTGGCGCTCATTTGACTACCTCCCAAGAAATGAGCGTGAAAAAGTAAATGGGGAATTAAAAGTAAGAGAATTTTGTGCGAGAGTGACTTTTTAGCTGAATATCTTACGATTTGCGAGGAAATTGGCGAAAATTGCATACGGTAACAATTTAAATAAGCGTCTGTCTGCAGAATTTGCGTACAAAACTTTTCAATCACAAATGCAATCATTTTTCATTTTTACAAAAGGCTCAACTTCTTATTGGTGCGTTTTTTGCTAATTTTCATAATATCTACCTTTTTCAGTATTCAAATAAAAGCTATGCGCACAAGCTGTCTTCTGATCGTTCTCGGGTCGCTTTTCAGGCTTTGCACTGCGGAAAGTTGCACGAAAAAGTTACTTAACTGATATGTAATTTTTAAATTTCAATGGTTTTAGCTTGTGACTAACGACTTAGAGCTACATACTAAAGAAAATGATGATAATTTAAGATCGCTAGTAGAAATCAGTTTTTAATCAACTATAGCAATTGCTTATTTGATTTTATTTAGATTTAGATTTTATTTATTTAGCCATGATCGTGCCGACTTCGATTGTGGTTTTGTTGCTGGTTTCAGAGCTGTACATTCATTATCAAAGACGACGCAAAACTCGCCGGCAACGTGTTGGTTTTGATTCTGATAAAGTTGGCAATGCACAGTCGATGCTGTGTGTTTTGCTTTTAATTACCCGCGTTATTTCTACAAATTTAGACAAAAATTGTAGTTATTATAATATTGCTGAAGTACATGAGGCTCTTTTCCTTGGCTTTGGGTAAGAATTTAATAGTAAAATTCAGCTTTGTTTTAAAATTAATTATCTTTTCGTATTTCGGAATGGCTTCAGCAGAGGGGTGTCGAATGGGCAGACTATTTGAATGTGCAAAGACATATTCTGACAGAGGTTTGTGTGACTTCATCACCTGGATAGGTGTAAGAGTTTAGATATTAGTTTTTTTTTAACTTCAATCTAAACATATTTTGTTAAGATTGCAAGTGGCAAATCCAGCTCAAACTATAAGGCTATTGTTACTGGTATGTTCAATTTCCTATGTACGTTTTTATTGCATTGATTTTAGCAATAATGACGATTATTAAGAAGACAGACGAAAGAGTGATCATGCGATGTCATCGACTGAAGACAAGGGATGAAAAAAGGTGCGCGAATCTTTGATGAATTGAAGAATTCCCATGTTTTGGATACGAGATCCAAATGTGGGACCCCAAGAAGCGAAATTGGAAGTTGATCGACGAGCATCCTTGTGATCCGGACTTTGAGTAATTCTTGAGATGGATCTGGTTAGTAAATGTTATGGGAAAATAATCCATGTGATTAATCTTATTAATAAATGTTTTGAGAGGATTGTGACTATATTATTCAAGGGTTAGAACGGTTTAAACTTTTCTTGTCCGGCTCAAATCTTTCTCATCGAGACTATAGCCAGCCATCAATTTCTGCAAAGTTGTACTTTCAGACACAGTCGTGGAATCGGCACATTGTTGATTTTCTAAAATGTGCAACAGCTATCATAACCCGTGTTCTAATAGTTTGGTATTTTCCATAGGTGTACAAGTTATAAAATTTATCATAGTCTATCTATCTTATCTACGCTATAGCCAGCTATCGATCCCCGCAAAAAGCGCTTCTAATTTGATGATGGGCATCGGTAATGTGTGACGAAAGCAACGAGTTCGTAGAAAGGGAAAAGAGGCGATGAACTGTGATCGGTGACGTCACCTTTTTGCCTAAAGGAGATGGGGAATGCCGTTCACTTTCAAGAGAAAGTTTCTCTTCACGATTTCGCTGCTAATTTCACTCCCTCTTCCCCTTTCAGTCAATCTACAGGTCTACGGCGTTGTGACGTAGAGTGTGCCATTCATTTTGCAGCCCTTTCCCCCCACCATGTCTCTTTTTGTTTGTTGCACCCTTGTTCTTTCTATTTGGCATCGAAAAACGGGTGGTTGAGTTTTTCTGGAGGTTCTTCTTGGGTGTTTTTACATCGTATTTCACTTGCTTGAAGTTTTCTAAAAGGTGCTAAAGCTACCGTACGCCAACTGATTTAGAAAAAATAGATTGCCTTCTGGAGCGCACCTTTTAGAAAATGTTTCGATCAAAGGGAATATGGTCTGCTTCTTGGTGCTTTTTCGCCCCCTCTCCTCTTCTTTTCCCTCCCCCCCTTTTTTTTTTTCTCCTCTCCCCTTCTCCTTCTTCCTCTTTTTATTTCTTTTTCCCCCTTCTTTCCCCCCTTTCTTTTCCCTTTTCTTTCTTCTTCCCTTCCCTTTCCCTTTTTTTCCTTCCCCCCTTTCCCCCTTTTCCCCCTCCCCCCCCCCCCCCCCCCTTCCCCCCCCCCCCCCCCCCCCCCCCCCCCTCCCCCCCTTCCCCCACCCCCCCCCCCCCCCTCTCCCTTCCCCCTTCTCCTTTCCATTTCCCCCCCCTTCTCTCTCCCCCCCCCTCCCCCCCCCCCCCCCCCCCAAAAACCCCCCCCCCCCCCCCCCCCCCCCCCCCCCCACCCCCCCCCCCCCCCCCCCCCCCCCCCCCCCCCCCCCCCCCCCCCCCCCCCCCCCCCCCCCCCCCCCCCCCCCCCCCCCCCCCCCCCCCCCCCCCCCCAACCCCCCCCCCCCCCCCCCCCCCCCCCCCCCCACCCCCCCCCCCCCCCCCACCCCCCCCCCCCCCCCCCCTCCCCCCCCCCCCCCTCCCCCCCCCCCCCCCCCTCCCCCATCCTTTTATCCCCCCTTTTCCCATTCCCATTATTCCCTTTTCCATATTATTATTCATATTTTTTCCCTTTTATTTATTTTCCCTTTTTTTCCCTCCATATCTTCCCCCCCCCCCCCCCCCCCCCCCCCCCCCCCCCCCCCCCCCCCCCCCCCCCCCCCCCCCCCCTCCCATATTTTCTTCTTTCCTCCCTTTTTTTATTTTTTCTTTTTCCCCTTTTTCCCCCCCCACACCATCCACACCCCATTTAATCCTTTTTCTTAATTTTTTAAATTTTTATATTTTTTTTCTTTCCTTTCTTTTTATTTTTTTATTTTTTTTATTCTTTACTTTATTATCATTTCATATTTTTTTTTTTTCTTCTTCCTTTCCTTCCTCCCCCCTCTCTCCCCTTCCTATCCCCCCCCTATATCTCTTCCCCTTTTAATTTTTTCGAAAAAATCATCTAAAAACGAAAAAAAAAAAAAAAAAACAAAACCCCCCCAAACCCCCCCCCCCACCCCCCCCCCCCCCACCCCCCCCCCCCCCCCCCCCCCCCCCATAACCAACCCCACCCCCCCCCCCCTTCTTTATATTCCTTTTTTTTTTTCTTTTTTTTTATAATAAAAAAAAAAATTTTTTCCCCCAAAACCCCAAACCAAAAAACAAAAAAAAAATCCCCTCCCCCCCCCCCCCCCCCCCCCCCCCTCCCCCCCCCCCCCCCCTAAAAAAACCCCCCCCCCTCCCTTTTTAAAAAAAGATGGGGTTTGGGGGGAAAGGCCCCCCCCCCCCCCCCCCCACCCTTCCCCTCTCTTCTTTCCCCAACCCTATGCAGATACACGATACCCCGACACAGTCACTCCTTTCCTTTCCCCTTTCTCCCCTCCTGCACTCCCCCAACAATCCCCCTTTCCCCTCCTCTCTGTATCTCTCTATTGTATCCCCATTTCTCGGTTCTCTATCTATTCACCCCCCTTTCCTTTTCCCCCAATTTCCACCCGCAAACAGTCTCCCCTTTTCTTCCTACACTCATCCCATCCAGGCATTCTGAATACTTGTACGCGTGTTTTGAAATTCTTTGAAATTAACTCTAGTCTTTCTTTTTTTTTAGTTTAACTGTTAATTTAACGGCATATAGTGTTGCACTTAATGCAAGTTTTTTTGGCTTTCTAAGACAATACATTAATCAAAGCTGAAAAACAATAATTAATCATAAAATCTACTCGTGATTTTACATAGAATAGAAGAAGATTTTTAATGACTTTGACAACCCTAGCCAAGCATTACAAAAGATGCGATGCTGAAAAATAGTTAAACTCGAGTTTGGGGTTTCTAAAATATCGTCTTTTTCGTCTTTTTCGTCTTTTCGTCTTTTTCTGTATTAATATGTTTTTAGAGTTAATTACGATAAAATTAGTGCTTTTTGAGCTCCATTATTGCTAACAATTTATCTTGATTCATGAGAACATTTTTGACAAATTTCATTTTTTTGTTTGAAAGCAGCACGTTTAAAATCTTCAATGAAGAATGAAGTTTAAAATTTAATTCTTTAATTTAATTTTTCATTTTTTCATTTTTAAAGTTTAACTCATAAATCTAGTGAAAAAAATGTTCAAAATACTATTTCTAATTTGATGATTATCCATTTTTCGATTTTCCGATTCATTCGCATATCAAGATTTAAAATATCCCAATTTCAAGGTTGAAAAACTTTTAAACTAGCTCTTTAAATAAAGTCGATACAACAATTTTTAAGCTCCTAAAACACGGTCTTGCTTTCTGCGTAGCTGCCCAGTCAATACGGTTCCAATACGGTTCCAATACGGTTTCAATACGGTTCCAATACGGTTTCAATACGGTTCTAATACGGTTCCTATTTTGATCTAATATGGTTCCAATACGGTTTCAATACGGTTCCAATACGGTTCTAATACGGTTCCAATACGGTTCCAATACGGTTCCAATACGGTTCCAATACAGTTCCAATACGGTTTCAATACGGTTCCAATACGGTTTCAATACGGTTTCAATACGGTTCCAATACGGTTCCAATACGGTTCTAATACGGTTCCAATACGGTTTCAATACGGTTCTAATACGGTTCCAATACGGTTCCAATACGGTTCCAATACGGTTCTAATACGGTTCTAATACAGTTCCAATACGGTTTCAATACGGTTCCAATACGGTTCCAATACGGTTTTTATTGTTGGCCGTTTAGGGCAGTTACGCAAGAAACCTCGGACAGGTTTTAGAATGTTTAAATCGAAATTTTTCTAAATCCTTTTCTAATTTAAAATTTGATTTCATTGGCCGCAAAAATTTTGTAATAATAATGAAATGTATTATCGACAAATCAAAAAATGAAACTTTTTTTTATTTTGATGATTTTTCTTTTTTTCTTGACACTATGACTCAAATAATGAAGTCGATTTGAGAGAAAAAACGATGAACCGATGGAAAATTTCGCATAAATCTCCTCATTTTTCATTTCATTTTCTTTAAAAATATTTATTTTTTAAATAAAACTAATTCTAGGCCTAATTTTTTTCGGGGTCTGCTTTTTTTCCGTATTCTTTTGCTTACCCCCGAATGCACGCCGTCATCGAACGGGTGCTTCAACAACGACAATTACAGGTAGAACATTTTCCACTCAAGTACTTCCACTTCGTTTTCTAAATGAAACCTATTGTAGAAAACTATCGTATCCAACTGGTAGTTTAAATTTTGACTTAATTCGATGAGTCTTATGATAAGAAATTTGGTTGATTGAATGTAAAGCGATTGATTGAATGTAAAGCGGTAGTTGGATTACGATAGTTTCTCAAAAATAGATTCTTTTTGGAAAATGGATTAGCCAAGACACAAGAAGCTTGCATTAAAATTTTAAAAAACTATTTTTTCAGACCGCCTCGCAACTTTTCGCCATCTCCGACTACGATGTGATCTCAGATTTGGTGAGTTTTAGAAAAGCCAATCGATTTCCTATTGAATGTATTAGTTGAATGTATACTGTAGATTTATTATGACTTACTGTAGACTTATTGTAGACTTACTGTAGATTTATACTTTGTAGATAATGTAGGCAGGCTTGGTTTAGCTGGAAGCTTTAGGATTTTCTGCATGATGTATTAGGTACATGCATAAGAAATGCGGATTTCAACATTTTCCAAAATTTCCAACGATAGAAACCTGATCGAGAGAGTTATATACTATTTGAAAGTTGTAAATCTCCTCTACAAAATCGGCTAAAACGTGTTTCAATTGATCTTGAACCATTGAAGAAATTTCGAGGGCGAAATGCGAGTGACCAAAAAAGGGCACTTTTTGAAAACCCCACAGAGAAAAAGGCACTTTTTGAAAACCCCAAAAAAGGGCACTTTCACAAGAGTTCGGTTTTGACTATATACTGGAAAATGACGGCCCTAAAATATCATTTAAAAATATCATTCAAAATAATTAAGAGTTGGGATCATTTCATTGGAAAACTTTGTTTTTACAATAATTTTTCTTTTTTCTGAAAAAGCCGGTTTTTTTGACAATTTTGAGGGTTTTGAACTTACGCTCTATTTAAATTCCAAATCTAAATCTAATCGAAATTCGCTCTATCTGTAAATGCATTTCCGTTAGACTTTTTTAATGAATTGATATATAGTTATCCTTTTTTTTAAAATCTTTAATTTTGGGAAGCTAACTCTATTTTGACCACACTAAACTTGTCCCTAAAGTGACTCGATTCCTTTTTTGGTCACTCGCATTTCGTCCTCGAAATTTCTTCAATGCTTCGATCAATTGAAACACGTTTTAGCCTATTTTGTAGAGGAGATTTACAACTTTCAAATAGTTTATAACATTCATCGATTCTAGTTTAATAACATCACGTTTCTATCGTTGGAAATTTTGGAAAATGTTGAAATTCGCATTTCTTGTAAATCCGCATTTTGTATCTTGTAAATCCGCATTCCCGCATGTACCTAATAGTTGATTTAGTAGATCTCTTTTTAAGTTGATCTCTAACTAAAAAGTTTTGCTTATAAATGCAAGAATAAACCCCAGTCGAGTCGATTTTTGTTGGCACGGAAGTGCAGCACAGAAAAAGTGAGGGGAAAAAAGAAACGCTGTTTGTCAATGAAATCCTGATATAAAGCCCATCAAAGAAGAAAAAGAAAAGAAAAAAAAAAGAAGGGGGAGTCCCGCTTTTGTGCAGACATTTACAGAAAAGATCTGAAAAAAACCCACGGAGACACAACAAAAAAAAAGGCAAAAGCTAGGCACTGAAGGAAGAATAGAGAGATACACTTCCTTTCAAATCAAACTTCAAACAACTTATTGTAATTGAAAGACTCAAGCTTATGAATTACATAAACTTGTTAGAGTTCGACCCGTGTTTTGGCGAATTGCCTAAATTGCTTGCTATCAATTTATGCAATTGATAGCAAGCAATTCGCCAATATGTGCCCAGCGTCCAGGTCGGAGATTTTCCCCCTACCTCTGTAGCCAGAGCCCGGCCTTATTTACATAAACCCCATCCTTCACTTCAATCTTACAATACTCTTTCACTGGCTGAATATTTTGAGATCCACTGTGAACAAGATAGCTGTTGAAACTGGAGCTTCTCAGTGTCAGAATTGTTTTAAAAAGTAATATCAGGTTGGCAACTAAATAATGGCCCTTTTCAGTAAAAACAAAAAATTTATTAACAAGATGAACAAATATCAACATCAATCCAAAAGGTATTCTCCGTCATTCTTTATTACTTCTTTCCACTTTTGACGGAGCAACTGGATTCCTCTCTTGAAAAATTCTTCTGGTTGATCGTCAAAGAACTTCTGCACTGAAATTCGGACTTCGTCAAGGTCATTGAACTTTTTCTCGGCTAGAAAGTGTTGCATCGATCGAAAAAGATGGTAATCACTAGGCCCCATATCCGGGCTGTATGGCGCATGAGGAAGAACATTCCAGCCCAACTCCTCGATTTTCTCCATTGTAAGTTTTGCAGTGTGTGGTTTTGCGTTATCATGGAGAAAATGGATTGAAGAGGGTTCGAGTCCTTGAGAGCGAATTGCTTGATCTACACGATGTAGTTGAGACGAATAGAGTTCTGAATTAACCGTTTGCCGGCTTTTGAGAACCTCGAAATGCACCAACCCACGAGAACTCCACCACACACAGAGGAGAGTTTTCTTTGAGTGAATATCCGGCTTCGGGTTGGTTTGGTCTTCGTTTGTGCTAGCCACTGTCGTTTTCGCGTTCGATTATCATAAAGTTCCATTTTTCATCAGAAGTGACAATGGAATTCAAGAAGCTTCCCTTTTCGCAAGTTTTAGTAGTATTCCAGCTGTGATAACACGAGTAGCCTTATTTTCTTCGCTCAATTCATGCGGAATCCACTTTCCACTGCGGTTACTTTTCCCCAATGCATGAGTCGCTTTTCGATTGCAGTATGCGAAAAGCCCAATCGATCCCCTAGCTCGCGTGATGTTTGACTTGGATCCTCCTTTAGGCTGCTTCAAAATATCGTTCTGCAGAAGTTCGGGTCGTCCTTGGCGGGGCTCATCTTCAAGACTTTCATCCCTTCCTTGAACCGTCGATACCATCTCTTACGTTGTGTTTCGGAAAGAGCCTCGTCACCAAAAACTCGCAATAAATCTCTGTGGGATTCGGCAGCTGTTTTGTCTTGTTTGTAGTCGTACCAGAGACAGACACGCATTCGATATTTGAGATCTTCCATTTCTAAACAAAATTATTTGAAAAGTATCAAATCAAGGAAAGTAAAAAACGTATAATAATGCACCAGAAATTCAGTAATATTCAATTAACAACAAGCGAGGGTAGATTAAACGCAAAGATTAAAAGATTTTATCAAAAAAGGGCGAGGGCCATTATTTAGTTGCCAACCTAATAGAAACAACCCTACCATTAGCCACATTGTCAGAAGCCGCTTTACCCCCTTTTGAAGTCCTTTAATCCTCTTTGAAGCATAGCCCAACCTAGCTCTTTTATTCTCCAATCTTCCCTACGGCCTGACCACGTTGAAGCACGGTATCCCGCCAGATCTGCCGAGTTAAGTAACGTCGATCTCCGTTAGTCTCTGGTTCAAATCCATTCTCTTCCCTTGTCCGAGTGCTGTAGGCCGAAGCTGTAGCCAATTTCTCTGCCAAGTTCTGCCAAGTTAAGCAACGTCCAGCTTTCGTGAGATGGGTAGACTAGTAAAGGCGCTACTTCTGAGATGGGTAGACTAGTAAAGGCGCTAGTAAAAGCGGGTAGCCATCGTCTTCTCTCCACCGCCAGAACCAGCTATGTAGTCCATTCTTCACCGTCAAAACAAGCTATTTATGGACCATCCATTAAGAGTAGGGTTAGCCGCCTATCCAAGGAAAGCGTGGTTTACGTTAAGAAAGCCTAGTATTGTGTATGTTGTGAATGATGTATTCTACCAATAAGCCCACCACTGGTAACCCCAGTTTGTATACAGGGTGTTCCAAAAAAAAGAAAGTCAGTTCAGTTTGATTTTCTCATTATTTCTAGTGTCTTCTGGAGGTTTTTGTGGAGGTAAAGTGAATATTTTGAGCGGCAAATTCTTGATATTTTTTTTTTCACTTTTTCCCGATTTCTTAATTCCCAAGACATGAAATTTCTGAGCCACCATGAGACTTTTGTTATACTTTTTTGGAAAACCCTTTATATATGAAGGTATCAATCGATATTTTAATGATTTTCACCCGGCTATTTTCCCTATTTTCCCTATTTTTCCTATTTTCTCTATTGTCCTCCATTTTTCCTCTCGATTCTCAATCCGTGATTCATCCGACGGGTGTCAGCACTCGGATCAGGGAAGAGAATGGATTTGAACCAGAGACTAACGGAGATCGACGTTACTTAACTTGGCAGATCTGACGGGATACCGTGCTTCAACGTGGTCATTTTCCCTATTTTCCCTATTTTCCCTATTTTCCCTATTTTCCCTATTTTCCCTATTGTCCTCCATTTTTCCTCTCGATTCTCAATCCGTGATTCATCCAACGAGTGTCGGAAAGAGTCTTTATTGTTTTTTTTTGATGATCTGTCATCGAAAAATCAAATACGGTTTTTAAAAGTAGAAATTGATATAATAAAATGTTTCTATTTTTGACGAAAGGGATCAAAAAATCCAAAAAATCAAGCTAAGCAGATTCTCAAGCTTAAAGAATCAGTGAAAACGTAGCCTTTCTAGCGCACTAAATTCTCTAAACTCTACGAGAAAAAGAATTCAATGCAATTCAATGCAATTCAATGCACTAAAAGGAGTGTTTTTAAATGTAATTTCAAAATTTTAGCATGCTGTTTTTGCCCGAATCAAGGAAATTTTAAATGAAAGAGAATATGCGAAGAAGAAAGATGATCAGAGTGTTGTTGAATTGTTGCTGGCGAGGATACTCACCGCAATTAGGTGAGTTTATGCTTAACTAGTGAGACTTTTTTCAAACTACCTATTCTTGTCTCCAGTTTTTCAATTTATCCACTTTTTGCCTGATTCCTGCTTAAGACTGCTACAGTAATCCCAACTAAAATCTGAGCTAATTACCGGATTTGTTACGAGACTAAAAAAAGCTCTAGATTTCTTTTTTCAGTCTTTAATCAACACCATTATTAGGCTTATTGTTAGTCAGTTAGTCATGACTCTCTCACATACACTAAACTTTCGCAAAAGGCGAAACATAGCGGGGAAATTGTTGGGTTGTTTACTCAAGTGAGGGGGGGAAGCACAACTTGATGGAGGGGAACGGCTGGGCCGTGTATACTCATAATGCACAAATAAACGATCACTCCACTCGTTTACTTGGAAAGGGGGTCATTTCTGCATAGAGTTACCCCAAAAAAGTTACGACAGTACATGTGCTTTGTGATTGGGAAATGTGAACTGGAAAGAAATCAAAAAAAATAGTGGTCAAGCTGATAGACTGTCATAGCATAGTCATAACTACCGTAAATACTGTAATAGTACCCGACCCCCATAATGACGGTGCGGAGTGTTGCGTAGTCTAGCTTTGAACGAGCTTTTCTCGAGACTGGTTTATGCTACATTCCGCGCCTAGGTATCAAAAAATAGCCCTGAATTTCAGCTATTTTTTGATACCAAAGACGCATTTTTTGAAAGTACGGGCGCTTTGAAAAAAATTAAATAAGAAAAAACTTTTGCGATTACGCGACTGTACGAGGGCGGTGGGGTAATATTACAGTATTTATGGTAGGTATCACCTCAATATTGTTCTAACTAATGTTCTAAAATGTAAGCCAGATTGGTCAGGTCAGGGCAGAAACGAGACTCAGACCAACCGGGTCTCGGATTTGTCTGTAACCAGGCATGTTAACTCCGCCCCTGTTTCAGCTTTCGTTGGCAAATCGTTGGCAAAAACGTTGGCAATCTACGTATTTTGCTCGTATCTTGACTAAAGTGTTTTCCTCGCAAATAATGCATTTTTTAAAACGCACACTTGAGAAAAAATACCGTACTTTTAGCGAAAATTTGCAAAAAAAATGACGAGTGACGGCTTATATACGTTTTCTTTTAAAGAGATTCAACCGTTTAAATGATTTGACGGTGAATTCTCCTCAAATGTAAAGATTTTCAATTTACTCAACGTGTAAAGAGGATTACTTGTAGTTACTCGGCCAAAAAACGTCGATTAATCCAGTAAAAATTACTCAGGCAATTTTACACAAGTAATTTTACTTACACACGAGGAACATACTCTAAGCTTAACCGGGTTTCTTTGAACAACTTTTAATTTGCTTTCGTTCGACTCGTAATCAAATTTTCTATCGAATGAAAGCAAATTCAACGTTTTTCAAAAAAAAAATTTGGTCAAGATACGAGTAAAAATTTGTAGATTGCCAACGGAAAGCGGACCGAAAAAGCGGTGGAGTTAACATGGCTGTCTGTAGCCTAGGTCGGGTCGGGCCGACTGTCTGTAGCCTAGGTCGGGTCGGGCCGACTGTCTGTAGCCTAGGTCGGGTCGGGCCGACTGTCTGTAGCCTAGGTCGGGTCGGGCCGACTGTCTGTAGCCTAGGTCGGGTCGGGCCGACTGTCTGTAGCCTAGGTCGGGCAAGCAGTCAGGCCCCAGAGTTGACTGCTTGGTTGAGATAGCAAGAATTCTATTCTAAGAATCACACCAGAAACCGAACTCATTACCCAGAAGTGTTCCAACCGAGCCTTAAGGCCTGTAAGCCAAGCCAGATCAGGTAAGCATCACTGACACTTTCTGTGGATCAGGCTAGATCAAGACTACAAGACTATCAGTCCGGAAATAACGATTTTAAAACATTTCTGATTCTTTTACTATGCAATACGAAAGAATAGCACTCGAAAGAATAGCAACTTTCTCAAAAAAAAAAAACAACTTCTCTAGGGAAACTAACTCAATCGAGACCTATTGTGCCGAACTGGTGGATGTGCTCGATTGCTGCTTGAGGCATCCGATGTCGTTAAGGTTTGGTGAAACGATGAAAATTTGTTATCAATCATAAAAGTACATTACTCATGCACAGTACTTAATAATGGTACTTAATAATGATACTTAATAATAACAATACTAACCAAATGATTTTCTTGCTTTTAGGTCGGGCGAAAAATCGTACACCGAGATGCGTGCCGGCACGCGAGACTCGGCTCATTGCAAGATTGCCCTCGAGATTCTCTCCTCTCTGTTTATGGTTTGAAATTTTGAAGAATTTTAGAAAAATTACCTTTCAGCACTTCAGCCTTATCTAAAATTTTCCTATATTTCTAAAAATCCTAAAAAAAATCCTTAGCACTACTCCAAGAAATCGGTGATGACGCTGGCGATTCCGTTGGCGATCAAGGTTGGTTTTTGGCTTAGAAAATGTTATACAATGATTTTCTGATATTTTATGAGCCAAAAATGTTTAGGCTCTCTCGTGCAACAATTCGGATTTGAGTCGAAACGTGATCTCGTACATCTCGTTGTCAGCTGTGCATTGTGAGCGGGTACTCGCCCAATATGCCATCCAAATCGTTGCGCATATCGTTGGAGGTAAATTTTGTACTTTACGGCTTTTTCAGAGAAAATTTTTGCTCACTAAAAAATGCACTAAACTATCGTAACCCTCCAATTTTTCTTTTAGCCAATTTCTTTGTTTTTTTTGGAAGTGGGACAAATGCTACCTTTTTTTTGCGCACCTTGCCCATTAGCGCACCTTTTTTCGCGTTTTAAAAAGCTCTAAAAAGCTAATATTAACCAATTTCTATTCCAAAAGTTGTTTTTCTAGGTAATTTTAGGGCGTAGAATCGAAATTTTGACATATCAGAGCGTGTGGAACCAATTTGAAACACAAAACGGCTAGATCAAATTGCAGAAAATTGTCGATTTTTCTCTTTGTATAACTCCGTCCGTTTGTTTCCACAAGCTCTGATATGTCAAAATTTCGATTCTACGCCCTAAAATTACCTAGAAAAACAACTTTTGGAATAGAAATTGGTTAATATTAGCTTTTTAGAGCTTTTTTAAAACGCGAAAAAAGGTGCGCTAATGGGCAAGGTGCGGAAAAAAAGGTGCGCAAATGTCCGGGTGCGCAAAAAAAAAGCTCGCATTTGTCCCACTCCCCAATTTTGTTTTCTATTTTCTATTTCTATTTCTATTTTCGATTTATTTCTATTTTTCAGGCAACTACGCACTCCTTAAAGTCCTCCCGCAGATCTACTCGGACAATCGGGAAGCATTGCACGCGCATTTACCCCAATTGATGAGGTAAGATTTTATCGTGAATAAAATATTAAAATAAAGTATCAAAATAATGTATCAAATGAATTCTTTTTTTTTATTGACACCAAATTTTTAGACTCCTCGAGCAATCAGACTTGACGTTGGAGGAGAAGCGCTCGCTACTACAATTCGCCTCGCGCGTCGCCGCCAACAACGCTGAAGTAAACTTTTTCAAAATGCTTTCTAATTTTAATTCTAAAATTCTTTTGAAAATATTAATGCGATTGTTTAAAGCGTTATAATTTCGAATTCAGCTGCTCATCCCCTACCTGCCGAGACTTAGCCCATTCTTGTCGAAAATGGCCACATGTCTCCCCGTTTTGCACATCTATCAACCACTTTGCTCACAAGGGAAAGCTCGTGTAAGTCCTAGATTATTATGGTTAAATGTTATTTTTATAAATTAACTTTTTGTTAAATTTTGCTGTCTTCGAAAAGTTGAGCAGTTGAAAAATCCGAAAAAATGAAAAAAATCGTCTAAAGAACATGGCTCCTTGGGAATTCCACCAGACAGTAAGCATTACTTTCTTGCCATGGAAGTCGGGTTTTGGTGTTGGTGTTGGCTCTTCACCAGGTTCTAGCTATTGCCGTTTTTCGTGTAGTATTATCGTATTGAATCCATTTTTCATCGCAAGTAAGGATTTCATCGTAAAACCCAGTATTTTTTGCCAAACGAAGAAGAATAACCGCCATAGTGACACGAGTAGCTTTATTGGCATTGCTGAGAAGGTGAGGAACCCATTTCCCTTGTCGGCTTGTTTTCCCCAATTGATGTAAATGCTCGGGCATTGTTTGAGGGCTTACTCTAAATATTTCTGCGAGTTCGCGTGTAGTTTGTCGCGAACTCGCATTTATTCCAATTGAATCCAATTGAAATGGATTCAATTGGAATGAATATGATAGTTTAGTCCTGTAACATGGCTCTATATTTTTACGATTATCTACTACGACTTTGTTCTTAAACTATAATTTATTTCTATATTCTTAAGCGTGGCATATATGAGATGAAAAAGGTCAGTAGTATAGTGCAAATCTTTTATTTTAGTTGTTATCCGATCTGATCCCGGTTCTTCACGACGCGACTGCGGACATTTCACTGCATTGTCACGTTCCAGCTATTGTTAATGTGAGTCAGGACCTAAAATATGAATAGATCTAATAGTTTCTAATAGTTTAAAGTTAAATTTCAAGTCTTTGACCATAGCCAAAGCCAAAAATAGCCAAATTTGACATTTTTCTGCACTCAAAACTCTGAGTGTGTCTCTCATTAGAGTTATTGATTCACTTTTTTTGAGCTGGAGTCAGAACTCTTGCGATGTTTTGTTCAAAAGTTCTGTTAAAAGTTCAATTTCAAGCTTTCAGGTGATCTCGATGATCGGCCGTTCCTCGAGCAGCCTCATGCATCCAGCGCTCGACTCTCTTGTTTCAATCGCTCGCCGAGTCGATGTCGTCTATGCCCCCACTGTGCTCACCGAGATTGAAAGTTGGCAATTGCAAGCTCTCAAAACGTTATCATTTATCCATTTTCCCCAGAGCAATCATTCGAACATTTAGTGTTTTCCCTTTTGACCGTCGTCAAGGAATGTAGGCATATTTTCATCAGCTTTCTCTTTTCTTTTTGCTAGGGTTTTTTTTTTCAAGATAAATTTCAATCCTATACGGTTTATCCTACAAATAATCTGAAAACGATTTTTTTTTTTACTTCAAGAAAAACTTTGAGATAGTTAACTGGAGTTAACTTATTATTAGTGTAGAGGCCAGTTAACTAGTTAACTGGCCTCTAAACTAATAAATAAGTAGACCTTGAAGTAGTGGATTTTTTTGCCATTGTTTTGTGGGATTTAACTGTATCAAAACTCAACGAAATACTCAACAATTTTAGCTTTGGGCACTCTGTCGCCAAATTCGCTGAAAGTTTTCGCTCAACGCGTTCACTCGGTCGGTTTGAGAGCGCCACATTTGAAAACCGCTTGCGAAAGGATCGTCAACTTGGCCAGGTATCGAATAATATTATGAAACAATTTTTGAGCAACATAGCAACATAAAAAATGATCTTTATCTTAAGATTATTATCTTAAGCACTAAAAAAGTTCATATTTTCCAGCACAGCTCCCGAGGAAGTGACAGTAATTGCGATCCGCGGTGGTCCCTCGAACGAGTCGTTGCCCCGGAAAGCACAGAGTCGATACGATAATCTGAATCGCGAGAGGTGCTTGCTTAAGCTATAGAAATCGGTATTATGTCTACTTTATTCATATCAAGAGTGTGCGGGCGGAAATTTGGCTGTATTTTTGCTACAATTTCTCGTCATCCCGTCAACAATTGCGTTACTGAAACAGCAGTTAAACTGGCAGAATAATGCCAGTTTTTTTTCTTGATTTTCCCAGGATTCGTTGTTCTAATCAATCTCGAATATCTGTACTATAGAAATCAACCGAATAAATTGCAAATTTTAGCGCAAGAACGCTGATCACCGTTGGAGAAAGCCCGGCACCGTCACAAACGGCCGAGGAGTTGGATAAGAATACTGAGGTGAGAAAAAAAAGGGTATAAATCTCTAGAAATACTATATCTAATCGGTAATTAGACTAAGCTCAACATAATTATTCAAAGTATTTATCCAGGAGCTGGCTAGTCTCTACCACCGACCGAGCAGCTCAAGTCTCAACAAGTCGAGGAGTCACACGAGTATCCTAGCTGGGCAAAGGTTTATTTTCAGCTGAATACTTTTAAATTATCAATATTTCTTTAGCTGAAGATCTTTATTGAACATTTTTAAAGTCTATATACAAGCTAGAGCTTTAGTCAGCGATCCAATTCGGAGCTCGGCTTCAACTCGAGGGATCTCTCGGCGTCGAGCATCGCCGGACCATCGAAGTGAGTTCAAAGTGTAGATAGAAATGTTTGTACATCTATAAAAGTGATGTAACTAAATAAACTATGCAAATTGGATGTTCTACTGTCAGTTTAGAGCCCCGTCAACGACTTCTACTCCGCAACAAGCCCAAACTCTGCCCGCCACTCTTACCGAGAAAGTTTATGTAAGTTGATTATTGTTTTGCATACTCTTAACTATTAATTGATATCTGCCTCATTGATATTAATTGATATTACCGTATTTCTTCGAATAGAAGACCGGGTAAAGAGTATGATCGCGTACTCCTGCGTAGCAGCCCTTTTTAAAATTTCTTTTCTGCATAAAAGCTTTCAATCAAGTGCTATAGAGCTGGAAAATGACTCAAAAATACCACATGAGCTAACAGATTTTCGATAACAGATAACAGATTAACAGATAACACATGAGACTTCCGGGTCTCAAAACTGTTGTGATACTAATTTCGGAAAGATTTCCTTTGTTTATTTTGGAATTTCGTGAAACAGGGAAATTTTTGCAGTGTACCATTTTTTGTCATCGGTTTTTCATGAAATTGGAGAGAAATTGGTGATGAATGATAATTGAGAGACAGATCAACAATAGTTTACAATAGTAGTATAATAGTACAATAGTACAATAGTAGAATTGGTCCCATTCTTTGCCTTATCAATTCCTATCGAAGAAATCCTGCATACCGTATTTCTTCGAGTAGAAGACCGGGTAAAGAGTATCATCCCGTACTCCTGCGTAGCACCCCTTTTTAAAATTTCTTTTCTGCATAAAAGCTTTCAATCAAGTGCTATAGAGCTGGAAAATGGCTCAAAAATCTGTTAGCTCATGTGGTATGTCGGACCGTCCACCGTACACTTTGCCTTTCAGACGTTTCCGCGCCAAACGTCGGAAACTACCGTAACCTGACGCAATAAAGGACCCCCCAAAATTTGTGCAAAAATCTGTGCTCGTATTTTTGAGTCATTTTCCAGCCCTATAGCACTTCATTGAAAGCTTTTATGCAGAAAAGAAATTTTAAAAAGGGCTGCTACGCAGGAGTACGCGATGATACTCTTTACCCGGTCTTCTATTCGAAGAAATAAGGTAATTGATATTAATTGATTGATATTAATTAATATTAATTGATGTACACGTTCTAGTAGTCTTAACGCCTTAACCTTTTGAAAAAAAACCCTTGTCGATAATAGAGTTACTGTCGAAGAACTATAACATTACACTTGGCTAAATAAACAACTGTAACTCATTGATTTAAGGTTCTCAGCTATACCCTTTTATCTTGTACCGGCATATCTTGTACCCAATCTAAACTTCGATAACAAAATTTTATCTAGATTGGCAAAATCCCTGTCTATTCCAATTTAATACTAAGCTTTCATCGCAAATTTTGTATCTTCTTTTGTATCTTTAGATCGGTAAAGACGGCCGAGTGAGGCCAATCATTGGAAGGCGGTCGAACTTCGCACCGTTTGAGACAACGTTCCCCGCCAGTTCGGCCGTACCAATCACCACCATTCCTTACATGGTTTGTGAGTTGTAGAAGTTTAGTTTAGAGTTTAGAGCTAGAACTAGAGCTAGCTGTACAGCGTGCGGTAGGCTTATTGCAAAGAATATTTTCTTAAAGGATAGAAACCGATAAAGGAGAAATCAAATTTAAAACTTTAAAAATTGATTTTTAAAGATATATTAAATAAATAAAAAAACTAGCGTATATAATCTAATAGAATCCCCGAGAAGAAGCCCCTATAGTAACGTCACGTAGTCTAAGTTTACTCTCAAACAAACGCTCATAATCTCGACATGAACACGTTTCTTTCCGCACGCTTGGGTATCAAATTAAAGTAGAGTTGGATAGGTGATTCTTTGAGATATTACACATATCTTTAGAATTAAACAGCGCTTAGAACAAAATGATTGAAAAATGATGAAAAATCGGGGGTTTTTTTTGCTATATTAATTCTAGTACTCAAATGGCTCCTAGAAACAGTATCAAATACCCGAAAAATGCCTGTAAACCAGCAATTAGCACGACTAAAATCAGCAACATCTTCGTTTTCTGGGCAAACAAAAGGGAGTTAGAAAAAGTTAATGTATTAGGTTGGTGAATTGAAAACTGCCGGATTTTGAACTAAAATTTATTCAACATAAAACCATGAATTCATTCCAAATAATTTCCATTATTATTGACGACTTCTGCCCATTTTACAGGCAATTTGCGGATTCCTCTTTCGTAGTAGGATTTTGGTTTGTGTGTGAGACAAGTGTGAGACTCAAAAATGGAGGACTGGAGAATGGAGGACAACCCGTTTGAGCACTTTCTTCAAAAGAAACCCATTTTGGTGGCAATAGAAAAGTTGTAGAGAATCAAAAATTAGGTTTATAGCCAAATTTCCAAAAAGATACACTTAGTAGTTTCGCTTAAAATGCAAGTTTTGTGGAAATTCGTAAATTAGGCATTTTTTGAAAACCAGTTTTTGAATCGTTCTGAAAATTTGGATATAAGCTTTATTTTTGATTCTCTACAACTTTTCCATTGACACCAAAATGGGTTTCTTTTGAAGAAAGTGCTCAAACTGTCACATATGACAATAGCCCGCAGTTTTCAATTCACCAACCCAATAAAATTCAAAAGCAGCACCCTCGAAAACTCACGGGTGCAATTTTGGGCCTATTGACTGACAAAAAATGGCTTCATCATGAATTTTTCAGATTACAGATTCAGTTCCAGTTTCAGTTTCAGATACAGATTCAGATTTCACATTAGATTCAGATTTCACAGACTTTTCAGATTACAAGTGCTATTGAAGAAGAGCCGGTCTCTGAAGAACCAGCCGAGCCATGGAAAGATCCGGTAGATGAAAAGAATTTGTGTGATATATGCAAAATTTTCAGAAATCGATTGATCGAGGCGATGTGGTGCGACAATTCGTCGATCATCGCCGGAGACACATTAGGTGAGGGAATTTAGGGGAATTTGCTTCTTCTGATAAGAGAATTTTAGACGTTTTATCGATGAGATTGCCGCGCGAATGCCGATACCTATTCAGTGCACTGTGGAAGGGGGAAAGGGTGGGATTTGATGATAAAGTTTATGCTGTAAGAGCTCTCTGTAGAATAAGATAAGTTGTAAGTTCTCTTCTAAAAGATACGCTTTCTAAAGCTACCGTAAACTTCAATTTTAGTGTCAGCACAGTAATCCTATTGTAATCAGCTTTAATTCTATTGTTTTTTGAAGTACTTCAGCTTTCCGGTGATGACTCATTGGCTTTTGTTATTAAGCTGTCAAAAAAAAAATACTTGAGTATGATAGCTTTTTCTTAAGCGCACCTTTTATAAAACATTTCAATTAAAAGAAAAGCTTTAGTCAAAGAAAAATATTAACTTTAAGTTGGTACCGTATTTTCTCAAATAGTAGTGGCAAGCCGAGCTGATGACTATTTTATGGTTTCCAAGCTTTTGCAGAAGCTCAACACTCAAAACCCCCACTAGACCTCATCATCAGCTTTATTTTCCGGCCCCACATCGATAGGTTCTGATAAGCGCTTTTCAAGATTCTCACAAAAGTAAAATGAGCAACACCAAACTAGAGTGTGAGCAGAGTGTGTTCCTTTATCTTGAGAGTTTTTTAAAGCGTGTCAACTAGGGACAAGGTTACATAGTTTGCAAAAAAAACAAATAGAAATCTGATAGGCATGCTTTAACTTGAATAAAGTAAAAACAAGATTCCTGCTTCAAATCGATCAATTCACCGTATTCTCTCTAAGTATTAGTGCATCCCGGCGAGCCGAATTGGTGACTATTTTACAGTTTCCAAGCTTTCCCAGAAGCTCAACACTCAAATCCCCCACTAGATCTGATCGTCAGCTACATTTTCCGATCCCACATCGATAGGTTCTGATAAGCGGTTCTTGAGATTTCGAGCAATTTAGGCGACGCTACTATTAGAGAAAATACGGTATTTGGTATTTGGTTGGTTCACAATTCGGTATTGATAAGTTTCAGGTTCAAAACACCGCATGAAGATCCATTTCTCGTGTCAGGTGCGCTCGACATACTGTAGCTTCCACGCGGACAACAAATATGCGATAAAAACGAGAAATGAGACGTCATGGTTGCATCTCATGTTTTTACAGGTAAAAGATTTGCTTATTTAACTGACTGTGTTACTTTAGGGTGTACTGTAGTGATAAAATTCCTTTATCTTCAAACAACTTTCCAGATGGAAGCGTCATCTTTATCACAAACGGGTGAAGTCTTATCCCAATCCTCATCTCCTTACCGTACCCTATCAAATTGTTGGGATCATCTGCCCCAATCGGTCACAAAAGGACGCCCATTTGTCACTCTTGTCACCAGCGCTTTCCCACATACAAAAGTTGGTTCTAAAATCAAAAATTAGCCTAATAGAAGCAAATTTGTTAAATTGTTAAATTTCTTTATTAAATTTAAATTAAATAGAATAAGCAAAGTGAATTTTTAAATAAACTTCAGGATCAAGAGAAATTGCTCAAAGAATTGGAAGAGAATGCGGTTTGGGGTTTCTTTGAGATCGATCCGGTTACATCGAAATGGGCATGTCTCAGCTGTGCGCACCCGGATCGAGTCAGGTGGGAAAGAAAATTGAAAAAGTGATAATTATCATGGAAAAGTTTTTACTACCTAGAGCTTACAGTACTTAACTATTAGAAGACCAGCCGAAAAATTCGCCTAAAGACGACAGACAGACAGACGGACAGACAGACAGACAGACAACAACTGTTCTTTTATATATAGTAGATATTATAGTGCAAGAGTATGATCAGCTTTAAGAAACAGCACTCTTTAGAGAAACAAGAATTATTGTAGCTATTAGTAGACATTGTAGTACGGTATTCACAGTTTACCTAAAGTTCTGGAGTATTTACAGTTTAATTTGAAAGACCTACAGTTGTCTATCAGATACTGTAGATTATCACAGTATCTGCGACAGTATCCTCTAGTAGTCTACAGTAATGCTGACTGTGAGTTGTTTTAATATTAAATATTCTAGTAAAGTCCGAATTTTAAGGCCATTTCTCGAGGAGAAAGTCCTTTGCGGTGAACTGAAAGAAAAGAAAGGTCGATGGAGATTCCTGAAGCGATGGCACACCAAATTTTTCACCCTCTCCACCGCGGCGCTCACCTATTCGAATGGAAATGATGAGGAAAGGAAAAAGGTGAATTACTAATATATTCAAAAAATATTCTAATTCCAAAAATAAAAGCATTCTCAAATTTCAGAATCACTCCGGCGCGCCGTCGATCGATTTGCGCTCAATTCGAGCCGTTCGCAGTTTATCGCGTGGGAACAAAAAGCGGAAAAGTCTCCGAAAAGCGTTCGAGATTTGGACACAAGAGAATAAGACCTACGTGTTGAAGGTTGGGATTGAGAAAAACTTAAAGAATAGGATAGTTTAAAATACAACTACCGTAAATACTGTAATAGTACCCCACCCCTATAATGACGGTGCGGAGTGTTGCGTAGTCTAGCTTTGAACGAGTTTTTCTCGACACTGCTTTATGCTACAATGCGTGCTTAGGTATCAAAAAATAGCCCTGAATTTCAGCTATTTTTTGATACCAAAGACGCATTTTTTTTGAAAGTACGGGTGCTTTGAAAAAAATGAAATAAGACAAAACTTTTGCGACTACGCGACTGTACGAGGGCGGTGGGGTACTGTTACAGTATTTATGGTAGGTAGCCTATCCAACAACGACCCATTCAGGCAAACGACGAACGCAAAGCTGAAGAGTGGCTTCAATGCCTCCAAGTGGCCATCGCTAACATTCACCGCGGTGATGATGTTCAAACGGCCACCCTTTAAAAAATGAAAAAAAAAACTTGTTTTTACTTTCTCTTCGGTGCCAAAGCTTTATATTTTAGGGAATGACGCATTTAAAAAGAACTTTCCTTTTTCATAGATTTTGGGTAACTCAAATGCACCCTCCTTTTGTGATTTGAGCTTTCTAGTTATCTTTTTTTGTGATGATAAACTTTTTTCACTTTTTTGCACATCAGGTATCCACTTCTACTGACGGCTTTCACCAGAGATTCCCCTTGATTTCACCGAAACATTTTTCACTTCACTTCAAATACTTTCAGCTTTGACTGCAATTTTCGCAGATTTTGTATAAAGTTTTCATCTTTAAAATGCTAAAAAAGGCTGATATTTTTTATTTTCAAAGCAGATATGAGACACACATTATGCTATTTGAAACAAAGACTTAAAAGACTTACGTACAATAAATTTAAGTAAATGAGTAAAATAAGGAAAACCGGTACTTTTCCAATATCGGGGGAGCGGAAAGATTATCGGGGGAGCGGAAAGATTATCGGGGGAGCGAAAGGAAAATCGGGGGAGCAAATTTTGCCCCCTCGAAAAATGCATTTCCGGGACTGTATTTTAAATGCAACGCTTTTTTTAAAAGCTTTAACGACGATGCGCTGTGCGTTCAAGAAATCGACGGCAATCGATTATTTCGTCACCAAAGGAGTCATCCAGTCGTGGATTTGCAACTGTGGCGAATCGATGAAAGTCCGCTCAAAGGGAAAAGATCCATTTCGCTCGGTATGTGACACTTGCGCACGGCGAAAGGTCCCCAAGCATTCAAGAGGAATTCGAGTCGATAACTTTTTGCAACAAAGCAAGCTCCCGTTCGTCACAATTTTAAATAGGACATATGCAGCGCTGCCAAAATTTGCTCCCCCGATATTGGAAAAGAACCGGAAAACCTGTCGACGAGTCAACGATGATTTTGCGGCTGTGCTGTTTGAGGATTGGATGACGAGGGTTGTTCAGTCGTGAAAGTCACCATCGGCGGCTTTCGATGCTCTCGGGCCGTCGGTGGCTCTTGGGCTCTTCTTTCTGACTAAACAGGATATTATCAAGAATAAAATGATTATGTAACAGTAAAAAGATAATTTCCAAAATAAGTAACTTACCACTGTTTTGTACTGCTCGGTTTTGCTGCTAATGTAACATTTCCTAAAAACCAGTGTTCCCGTAAAATCCAGCAATGACCTACTTGTTCAACCAGATACACAGAATAAGGACGGCGATTAAGAACAAGCACGTACAACAAGCAAGGCATATTACAACGAAAATATTAATATAATCACCCATCGAAGAATGTCGCAAAAGTAAAAAATACTCACCGACAATAATAAAAGCTAGATTGGAAGGTGGAGCTGGTGGAAGAACACATCTAATCTAAAAACAGTTTAAGATCGGAGAAAAATGCTTACTTCTTTCGACTCCTCGTGCGTGCAATCATACTTTGGGCGAATACATCTCTAAAGAAAACATTGTATTTGCACAATTTTAGAAAATACCTCTGTATTATTGTGCAGCTTTGTGTGATTGTCGCATATTGGCTTTTGTATGCAAAAGTATCTTCCTTCAACCAAAAGCTTTTTTCGCAAAACGGGCTCCTGCAAAAGTGATTCTTCGTCAGTGCATCCGCGCCACTTGCATTTGTACTAAAATTTTCTGTTTATAGAAAGAATTATAATACTAGCTTGTATAGCATAATTACTAGGCAAGATTTTTGAACGACAGAGCATTTTGTCAATTATTAGGTGTGTGAAAAAGTAATCCACGTTTTTTATTTTTATCTGATGACCAAATAAGACGCTGTCTTCTCGAAAACCCTCGTTCAACCTCTTCAGAAATAGGCCTTACATTAAATTGTGATGGGTCAACCGTAAGGAAACGCTTGAATGCCATGAATTTTATCAAAAAGTTGGACAAATGGATACCGCATGAACGATAACGCGCGACCACATGTCTCTTTACAGACTCGACAAAAAATCCAGAGTGTTGGATGGGAGGTTTTACCACATCCACCTTATAGTCCAGACCTTCCTCCATCTGATTATTATTTATTTTTATATCTGTCTAACTTTTTGGCCAATAAACGGTTCAATTCCGAAGAAGATATCAAAACCGAGGTTGATCTTTTCTTCGCCTCTAAGGACCAAGATTTTTATTATCGTGGAATGTCTTTACTTGTAGAACGTTGGCAAAAGGTTGTTCTTTCGAATGGTGATTACTTCGTTGAATAAAAATTATTTTAACGAAACTTATGGTCTTTTATATTTAAACGTTAAAAACGTGGATTGCTTTTTCACACACCTAATACAAACAATGCTAGGTAAATGAATCAAAAACTCTCCAAAAACCCACAATTAAGATGTCATCATAAACACAATCTGGCTTTGGTTGTATACACTTCTAAAATGAAGATCTTACAATAATGAAAAATTCCTCAAACCGAATCGTTTAAGACATGTGCAGGACATAGGGGCTTCTGGGTGCAATTCTTCGGCGCGTCTCGTAGAAGTGAATCCGCATTATTGCACACTGATAAAAGATGCGCCTAAAAAAAGAATTAATTAATTGGGAAAGGCTTAAAAATCAGTGCGAATTAGTGCCACTCGTGAATTCTACGATACAAAATACTCACACCGAAGCAGTGTAGTGTAGGACAGTGTAGGACAAAAACGAGGAGCCAGACGGACCACATAGAGAGAAACATCTTCTAAAAAAGTGATGATTGCGTTAAACGACGATTAAAAAAAACCTACCATGCGAGTGCAGAAAGAAAATGGGGAAAATGAAATTTGGAACTTTAATTTGGGGAACATACTTTGACAATTTACACACATCGATTTACATTTAAAGATTAGATAAAACAAACCACTTCCTCTTCCACTATTTCTTTTGGCTTCCATTCCGCAATTTTTGGTTGGTTTCTTTTGTGTCTTACTTTATTTTTAAGTTTAACGTTTTATTTATTAGTATTTGTAACTTTTAACGTGACTTCTTTCTCTTCCGAACTAGCTTTAGAGGTTTTAGAGGTTTAAAACCTTTAGAGGCTTTAGAGGTTAGAGGTTTAAAAAGTCTAAAAAGTATCAATTCGTACTCACCATAATCATTCGTAACTTTGAATGCTGATTGCTAGTTGTTGGTCATCGAATTGTTCTTTTTAGATGCGTTCCGTTTTGGTGCTTTTTGTCGCCTTTCTTCTCTCGGAAGTCGCCGCTTTCGAGAGATTTCTTGGTAATAATTTTTTTATTATAAATTTAATTGTTGATTTAGATGAAACCGGATCTTCTAATTCGACAAATGCGAAGCAGTATAAACCTTGGGTAAAGTTACCGCACTCGAGTTTTTTTTAAACATTTGCTTTAGATAGACTTTGTGGATCTGAAGAAATTCACCGTTGGAGTTGACCCAAAGGAACTTTGCAAGTAAGCTGTCTTTCTTTGAAAAGTCAAGTATTTCTGGAAATAACGACATATTTCTTTATTTTTTAATTTAGAGATCACGCTGGCTTTGGCGATTATTTGAGAAACGCGACCACGCCGATTCCCACTCATTTAAATGTGAATATAACGAAGCTGTTGACTGACTTGAAAGCAATACCAGAAGAACCAAAGGAAATATGGCAAACGGCGTTGATTGACGTTGAAGCGCTCTACATCTATGGTCATTCGAAAATGGAAGAACCCTGGGACAGCATGGTAAATAGTTCAATGTTGTTTTTCTTTGATATTGAAGATTTTAAAGATTAATCTTTAGAACAATAATACCAAGCTTGTCTTCGCCTACTACAATGTTTTGGCTTTTCGACACATTTGCTACGACAAAGGCGATGCAAGCAAATTTGCTGGTTAAGAGAAGCTTTACTTCAATACTAATTTTCTTTTTAGCTCTGAGTTGCGTACGTAAAGGGTCATCAGCTGCAGAAAAGTGTTTCGAGAACTTCGAATATATTCACCCGCTTTACAAGTGTGTTTTTTGTGCTACTTCATAAATTTTTTGATCTAGCGGCATTCAATAACCTTTTTTTAGTGATTCGGCTCAACCTTTCCGCTGTTATATGGAGAATCACGTGAAGAAAGAGTGCACAGTTGAAGAAGGAAAACAATTTGACGCTGTTCTCAAGAAATCTGCAAAGCTTTACAAGGAATATCGCGAAGCGGTGGATTTATTTTCTTGATTTAAACGTTTTCATTTTTTTGCAGATATCGTTAAATACAACCACAGAAGCCATAAAGAAATCGGATGGATTTCCTCAATGGGTGATTGTCGCTTGTATGTTTGTTGTTGGTTGTCGGTTATAATAAGATTTTTAGTGACGATTGGTGTTCCTCTGATGTTGATTTGTATTGCTTTCATCGTGGTGTATTTCATTCGGCGCCAGTGAGTGTCTTAAATCAACTTTTTGGAAGAGTTCATAGTCATTAACAAGTGGATCTTTAAACTTAAAGTGTGTTTTTAGTTTCGGAAACATGAGGGCACCACTTCCTTCGTCAAAGCAAGAAGTTCGTGACAACGTTAGTACTTTGTTCTTACAATTATATATATATTTTTAGTCTATTGATCCAGCATCGGCTGTTGAGAGTCAGAAGAGCCGACGCAATGGCGAGACTGAATAAAGTGGGGAATAACGAAATTTTCGAAGAGGTGAGAAATTACACGAATTGTATAGTAGCCACATTTTTTAGAGCAATTTTTGCAAAATGTTTTATTCCTCCGCCTCTTCTCGTCACTTTTCGCCACAAAAAATTTGCTTTCTCTCTTTCTCATGTATGAATAAAAAGTTTTGGCTGTTCTTAGAAACTTTTTGAAAAAATTATAATTGGAGGAAACTTGCCTTTTTTATTCTTTTGAAAGCACCATTCATTTTTCTGCATTTTTTTCCTCAATTCAACGCAAATTCGTGAACTTTGCTTTTTTCGTGTAACTCTTATCTATCTTATTCTTCAAGTATCACAGTTCTATGAGGATTCGAAAGTACCCAGGATCCGAGCTTTTGAACTTTTCCCATTTTCCGAAGATGTTTCAAAATCGTGGTATGGTGGCAATTCATTTGCTCAGCGAGTTCCCGACTCGTTTGGTTGAAGAGGATCCTCGATTGTTCTTCAACAAAAAAAAAACAAGAAAAACGAAGGAAAATCGCGAAAAGCGGCGGAAAGGCTATTGATCTGAGGGTCGCTGGTTCGACTTCGACCGGTGACAATATTTTTCAAAAATTTTTTGCTAAGATTCTGAAAATGCGTGTCTAGGGGTTATTTTTGACGCTGATCACGAAACACATGTTTTTAGCCTAGGTTTCTGCACGGAAAACTAACGAAACGTGAAAACAGCCATTTTTTGGCTCTGCCGCCCTTTACTAAAATAGCTGTAAAAACTTTTAGAAAAGAGATATCTCAAAACGGTTTTTACCAATCGATCCGTCTTGAATTCAGCTTTAGGATGAGCTATAAAACGTCAAAATTGGACAAATTTAAGGTACTCTCCCAACAAATCGGAAAGGACTTTTCCATCAACCCAATACTTTTTATCTTCACTTTTGTCATCCTTATGTAATTTCCAAAGTTCAACGTTGCCTTAACACGATAAGAAATTGTCGATTTTAAAATTGAAATTGATGTGTAAAATTGATCAAAGTGCCTCCTTATTCGCCGGATTTGAATGTTATAGAGCATCTTTGGGCCCATTTAAAGACTAAACTCAGGGGCAAGATATTCAGCACAAAAGTCGAGCTTTGGTTCTTTATCAGAAACGTTTGGCGACAAATTTCTTCGGGAATTCTACGTGTTTTGGTCGATTCAATGCCTCAACGTATTCAAGCAGTGATTTTGGCTAAAGGAGGACCGACAAAATATTAATCTAGCTTACCTTTTTTAATGGTGGGACAAGACTTTTGCACCATATATTTTTTGATTTTAAACTTTATTTGTTATTTCCTTTTAGGTAATAAATTTTTTTTAAATCTAAAAACTTTTTTATATGAAAGCTTACAACTTAGGGTTCAGAAAAACCCCTTTACTTAAAAAGTTGTTTTCGAAAATTTTTAGAATTTTGACAAAATGTTTCAGAAAAGTAAGTGGGACAAGACTTTTGCACCACAGTGTATTGCCTAATTTTAAAAGTATTATTCAATTTACTATTTGTTAATCAATTAACCTTTTGTTAATCAATTAACCCCCCTATTTTACCGAATTAATTTGTCATTTACTGAATTGAAAATCGTGTGCTTTCTTTCAAATCCTCTTTCAAAGCTTTACCGCAATAAATGTGATCACGAGTAAATACTTGCATATCTAAAGTTTTATCATTCAAATGTACAAAAGATGATAAGAAAGTCGAGGCACAAGTTAATCCACGATATTGAGGAAAAGAATTTAGGAGTTGGTCAATTTGAAAATCTTTGTCTCATTATAAAAATCATAATTGAGCATTGATAGATATTCAAGAATCGAAAAACTATTGTAATCTACTAGAAAATTATGTGAGTGAGCCAACAGAGCTATTTCTTTTCTTCCGTTGAAGTAAACTCTCCTCACCAGCGGGCATCATTCGACTCAATCTTCTGAGGGACTCCCTCGACATTGATGGCTCTCTAATCACACACATGTTCACCTCATTGACTGGCGCTGTCGGAGTGCCACGTCTGAAAAAATTTTTGATTAGGTAAAGTCGTCATTTTAGATTAGTAAAGTCGTCATTTTGCTCAACTCACAGCGGTTGCTCAACTCCGGCAGTGTCCAGGTTGATGTTAAGCAATTTTTGCCGATTCCTTGCCATTCTGCCAGCTCTTGTGCACCTTTTATACCATTCGACGAACTGTAAACGTAGATCTCAGATTTAAAAATGAAAAATGACCGCAATACCGGCTTCAAAAATCTAGATTTTAAGTTAAATTTGTGCTCTAATGCGGCATTATGGTATCTTTGTACCCTAACGCGGCTACGGTATCATAATCATAATCATAATTGTGATACACGTAACCCTAATTGTGTAATGATACCATTTTAGATAAAACCTTAATAAAAAAACAAGCAAACAGTTAAACAGCAACAAAAGTTGTGTTCAATCGATATTACGGTAATACTGCCGATATCTGCGCCGAATATTTCGATACTTTCTACAAGAAAGACGATTTAAGTACAAGTTAAAACGCACTAAACTGAAAGTCAGACATAATTAGAGCATACTGTAGCGCAAACCTATTTAAGTTCGCATTTTGATGATTTTTGTTTTGTTTTTTTTTGTATTTTGTTCTTTTAGAAGATTTTCGTCACAATTTCTCCAAATTTTGTCCATCACTCATCAAAGTGATCAAGTATTGTACAAGTTCACTCTTTTCAGAGCGGAAAGTAGAATAAGTACTAAAGTTGTGGCAATTAAACCCACCGTAAATACTGTAATAGTACCCCAGCCCCATAATGACGGTGCGGAGTGTTGCGTAGTCTAGCTTTGAACGCGTTTTTCTCGACACTGCTTTATGCTACAATGCCCGCTTAGGTATCAAAACATAGCTGAAATTTAGGGCTATTTTTTGATACCTAAGCGCGCATTGTAGCTTCAACCAGTGTCGAGAAAAACTCGTTCAAAGCTAGACTACGCAATACTCCGCACCGTCATTATCTCTGGTATCAAAAAATAGCCCTGAATTTCAGCTATTTTTTGATACCAAAGACGCATTTCTTGAAAGTACGGGCGCTTTGAAAAAAATGAAATACTAAAAAACTTTTGCGACTACGCGACTGGGCGGTGGGGTACTATTACAGTATTTACGATATATAAAGTTCGCAAATATTATTTTATTTGTTTTTACTTTGTGATTCATTGTCTAACCCGCTTTAGATAAATAGTAAATTATATATATATATAGTCAATTCGAGCCAGGAAAGCTCAACAAACAGAACTACAAGAAGTTTTGTCATATCATCCATGTCACAAACCTTTCCCAGTATCGTCAACTTGAGACGATACGAATCCTGACGCGCCTCGATACAATATTCTCCAATTGACATCAACAAAGCTACTAGAAGACCCGTGATCAGTACATAGAAAATGCCTAAATTTGATACTTTGTTATCTATTTGTTTCTTTTACCAAAAACACTTTGCAGCGAGTGCGCTTGTGGCGTTTCACCCGGTGATGTGCAGGAGGGACCATCTAGAAAAGAATTTAACATTTAAAGCCAAATTTTAAGCTTTAATCGACACAATCTTCTTGGTGCAATACGGTCAAAGTTTTTTTTTAAAATCAATTACTCGACTCTTGCATGGCGGTGGCTACTTTGCGCAATTTGCCATTACTTTCTTCTAAGTGAGCCAATCTTTATGATTTTAGTGTTAGTTTGTAGATCTCACAACAAGTGCAACAAAATGACACTAAAATCATAAAGATTGGCCCACTTAGAAGAAAGTAATGGCAAGTTGCGCAAAAAATTCGACGTAAAGTAGCCACCGTCCACTTGCATAACTCTTTCTTGACCACCACTAGCACATTTCTCATCATCATCATCAATGATAAGACGGATTTCTTTTTGATTGCAGCATTTTCTAAAAAGTGCAAAGGAAACTCGTACTCCGGATCACTTTTTCTGAATTTTCAGTAGCAATTTGATTGACTATTAGCAGTTTAAAGCGAGCTACGGTAGCTTTTTCCGGAGCGCACTTTTTAGAAAAAGATTCAATCGAAAGGAACGCAGTCCACTGATGATCTCTTGATCTCTTACTTGGATACTGACGAGCTAAAGTAGCAAATACACATTATTTTAAATGGAGAATCCCTTTCTTTTCAAATAATTCGTTTTCTAAAACGTGTCAACTTCCCGAAACTATCGTAGTCTTTCTTCGAATTTTTATCCAATCTATACACTTTTTATATCTTTCGATATTCTTTGTGAGAATCAGACTGGTAGATAGATTGGATAAAAGCTTGAGACAAGACTACGGTAGTCGGAGAAAAGGGACACATCTATCACTGAAATCCAACCTCTCCGATCTCTCCACCATTTATTTTTGAGTCCCTCAAGAATAGTTTTCTCTTGTAGTTGAAGGATTGTCCCCGACATGATATCCCTCAACGGGGATCCCTTCGGCAACGCGATACCGTAACCCTAAAGTTGAGTTCCACTCTTGAAAAACGAGAATTTCGCAAAACTAAAATATTCTTTATGGAAAATGTGAGAAGACTTTTGGAGGGATTAGTCCCAAAAAGTTGCGAGTTATCGATAGGGGAATCGTTGAGAGATCGATCGATCGAATCATTGAGAGATCGATCGATCGAATCATTGAGAGATCGATCGATCGAATCATTGAGAGTACGATCGATCGAATCATTGAGAGATCGATCGATCGAATCATTGAGAGTACGATCGATCGAATCGTTGAGAGCACGATAGAAATCGATGTTGCGGTGTACTTTGTGATCAAGTGAAAACACATCTTTTCTAGCGCAACAAGCTCTTCGTAAGTTGCAAGTTGTCGTTAGAAAGTCAGGAATTCAGTGCGCCAGAAAGGGTGTGTTTCCAATTTCAAGCGCAAAGTACTCACAGCATTCACTCTTGTTCGAAGTGTACTTTATGTTCAAGAATCGGAAACACACTCTTTCTCGACGAATTTGAAACTTTTCACTTGATTTTATTAATTATTAAGAACAAAATGCACCAGAAAGGTTATATATTTTCGTTTTTTGAACACAAAGACACATGTTCTGTGCTGTTTTTTTCTCAACAATTCCCCTAGCTTCTAATCTTTTTCAAATCAAGAAATCTAGAGGTGAAACAAAAAAAAGGAAATCGTAAAATCGAAGGGGATTTTTTTTTTCGTTGAAGCGAGTTGATAATTGTAAACAGAAGGAGTTATTTAGTTACCCGAGTGTCCAACCATCCACCAGAGACGCTCTGGAACCCCGTTTGAATAATAAAAGAAGGTACGGTAGCTTAAGATAGATAAATGTACGGTAGATCATGTTAGTTACGGTAGCGTACGGTAATGTACAATAGTTTACAGTTGTTCACTTTGCTCACTTAGGTTACAGTAAAGTATGGTAGTCCAGGTAACGTACAGGAATCTGCAGCAAGTTTGAGGTTACGGTAAACAATCTACTATAGATTACGGTAGACAAACTACTGTAGATTACGGTAGACAATCTACTATAGATTACGGTAGACAATCTATTGTAGGTTACGGTAGACAATCTATTGTAGATTACGGTAATGTACGATAGCTTTTTCTACCTTCAGACCGTAGCTTGAAGTATGAAATAGGAAAGAGAAAAATGACAAGACGTGGAGGCTAATGTCTCACAGGGTTATCAGGTAAATATAAATGCAAATTTAAGCAGGATTTTATATTTTTAAAAAGTCTCTATATCTGATAACCCCGTCTAGTAAACTAATTGTAAGAAAAGGAAAAACTTTTGAATCGAGAAGTCCGCCGATCCGTTGCAATTCACAGTCTCTTTCCATGTAGTACTCCAGCATTGAGGATTCCATCATGTAGGCATAGTTACCAGCTAAATTTAAATGCTTTATCATTTTTCTAGAATTCAGCAAAACTGAAGTGTCTTTAAGAAAGCGTTTCCACTTTCGTGACTATCGTAATTCTGTCTCTAGTTTCCATTCAATTCTGTCTCTAGTTTCCATTCAATTATGTCTCTAGTTTCCATTCAATTCTGTCTCTAATTTCCATCCAATTCTGTCTCTAGTTTCTATATTCAATTCTTTCTCTAGTTTCCATTCAATCCTGTCTCTAATTTCCATCCAATTCTGTCTCTAGTTTCTATTCAATTCTTTCTCTAGTTTCCATTCAATTCTGTCTCTAATTTCCATTCAATCTATCCACTTAATTCTCTTAGGGTTCACAAAGGATATTGAGAGAAAAAGTAGATAAACACAAAAGTAGATAGATTAGATAAAAAGGCACAAGATTACGGTAGTTTTCCGAAAGTTGGCACTTTGTAGAAAGCGTTACACACCGTTACAAGCGTTACACGTTTTACCTTTAACCCTTGCAATCCCTTCCCGGCTGCTGTTCACGAAAACGGTTGGTGACGAGGATTCCATGATTGACCACCTGAAATTGCATTTGAACACAAGAACACTTCTGAACTCATACATTCTCTCATAGATCGGAATCTTGCTCTCTCGAAAGAAGTCCATCGTGCTACCGCTCTAGAAATTGAAAATATTTCATAGCTCATCAAACTTTCCAAACTTTCAAAGTTCCATATCTGATTTTCGTTTGACTAGCCAGATCAGCTGTACTCTCAATTGGTGTCGTCATTCGCTCGACGGTGAGAAAAGCGGCCAGTTGAGCCGTGTATGAAGAGATGAGGATTTGAGTAAACATCCACCTAAACTATCAGCTTCATTTAGTCATTGTAAAGTTTCTGTTTATAACTATGATCTAACTTCTTTACATTGGATACATTGGATACAAGATTTGTATGCGTTTGTTTGTCAATCTTGAAAGCAATTCGCTCAGCTTGAAAGCATCAATTAATTCGCCGCGGAGGCGAGGGAGGAGGTGATTTTTATCGAACGTTATTGACGTTATTGATTGATGTTATTGATATTGACACGTTAAAGCACTTTTATTAAGTTTTTTTCTGTTACAATAAATCCGTCTAAACGTTTGGAACACCCGATTTTCGACAAAATCGATATTTTTTTATTTTCATCAAAGTGTCAGCTCCGAGCCAAACTGATATTTTAGTTACTATTGTTATTATTGAATGATTTGTCTATTCTTATGCAAATGTGTTCTCCCCTGTGCTTATCCCTTTTATTGCCGAGAAGGGGCGGTCCTTGGGATTGCCTAGGAGGACAAGACTCTCATTTGGACTCTCAGACTGAGACTCTCATTTGGAGTCCCCCCTTCCCCTTCCACTCATTTGTAATCTATTCGTCTTATTGTACTACTGTAAATAAAGATACATATCTTCCGGGTCTATGCAATAGAATAGACATGCAACTGCAGTACAGGTCGGTCATTTCACAGGGACTCCCCTCTAATACGTTGGAGGAGTTGAGTTGGGTTGTCGGGGTGTTAGAGATGGCGGGATATCAAAAGGGATCCACTCTCTTTAACTTAACCCAAATTCTAGTCCACATTCGTTTACATCTAGGAACTAATCAGCTTTTTTCTTTCTAATAAGCCAGTAAGCTTTTTTCTTAAAAGTTTCTCGGTTTTTTACATTAATGTAGATAAAAATAACAAAAAATTGCAAAAATTTAGTTTTGCGATACATTGGATACAAGCGGCCATTTTGCGCTACCGTCTAAACTTTTGGAACGCACTGTATTTGTTTTTTTTTGTCAATCTTGAAAGCAAACTTTCCCAGTGATCGGTCGGCCCATTGAACTCTGACACTGACACTTTGCCTATTTCATTTTGGCTTCAGCTTTAACAATCAATTCTATATTATATTTTATTCTATATTATAAGCCACATCAATTATATTGTATATTTGTTTTTGTATTTGATTTTGTATTTGTTTTTGTTTTTGTATTTGTTTTTGTATTTGATTTTTACTCACCAAATCACCGCAACAACTCTCGTAGCGGCGGCTCTCGGAATCACGTCGGATCCCTGTTGCATCAGCGATCCAACGGCAAACCACAGAGAGTTCAGAATGGTGAACTGATTTTTCTGATTCTCGATCGATGGATCTCTCTCGTCGATCTTCTCAATGTCATACCTAGATCCAAATCAATTGACACTTGTTGACAAGTGATTTTCGTGCAAACTAACCAGGAAACCCTTTTTGAAGGAACGATCTGATTCCGAGGTGATTCCCCCAGCTGCTTTCAAATCCTAACTCTCATAAGTCATTTTTGAGATATAAATTTCAATCAATAAGTTTAAAGGCTTATAGGACTATAGTTTTTTTTTATGTTTCAACCAATTTCACTAAACACCAAGCTAGTTTACTTAAAGCCTTGCCGATGCATCGATGCAATTGAAACTTTGAAGGTTTTATCTCGTAAATGCTCTATGAGAAGTAGGATTTGAAAGCAGTTTTGAGATACCGTTAACCAGGAGGTGTTTAAATCTCGAAATCAGATAGCTTCCGAATTGTACAGGGTTGGATAAAATTATCCGGACAAGAAACTTCTTTGAATGTTACCGTCTTTCTTCGAATAGAAGACCGGGTAAAAAGTATGATCGCGTACTCCTGCGTAGCAGCCCTTTTTAAAATTTCTTTTCTGCATAAAAGCTTTCAATCAAGTGCTATAGAGCTGGAAAATGACTCAAAAATACGACATGAGCTAACAGATTTTTGAGCCATTTTCCAGCCCTATAGCACTTGATTGAAAGCTTTTATGCAGAAAAGAAATTTTAAAAAGGGCTGCTACGCAGGAGTACGCGATCATACTCTTTACCCGATCTTCTATTCGAACAAATACGGTATTTCATCAAGATTTCCATAAAACTCTTATAATCCTTTTTCTATAAACTCTTAATCATTCTCCAAAAAAAAGTAAATCACAATTTTCTAGTCTTTTTTTATTTCTCTTGTTTTTTTCTCGTTCAGAAACGAGCGCTGAAAAGCAAAAAAGCGCTGAAAAGGGAGAAAAATGAAGCTCGATTTTATTCAATGCTTTGAGAAAGTCGGTAAACAGATTTTTCTTTTCAGTAATGCTCCAATAGGTTAATAGATTGATACTGAAGGATTATGGAGAAAATTCTACAATTAAGTTGGCTGACTGCAAAGTTACAAGGAAGAACTCTTGTCCGGGTAATTTTGCCCAAAGGTTTCTCCGTCAAAGGGTTCTCTGGAAAGATTTTCATGATGCCAAATGATCTTTCAACAAGAGAATCACCATTCATAAGGACTAAATCTCGCCAAGAGGAACATCGTGAACGAAACGGAAAGATAGGCACCGATGAGTGCCACCCAAACTGACAACGAGAGTGGCTCGAGGAAAGTGAAAAGGGAACCACGAGAAGAATCCTGGAAAGGCGAGTTTTTCATACAAAATTATGTTTTGTTTTTAAAATAGCGACAGTTTTAAGCAATAAAAAGAAAAAGAGCAATAGAAAATCATATTTTAGTAACGATCCATCATTGGATTACTTGCTTTTTTTTGCAATACCTCTTGTGATCTTGCCAACAGAATCGAGATGCCCAAATGCATGAAGGGAAGGGTGAAATCTGGAAAGGCTTTTGAAAGAAATAGAAAATTTTCATCTAAGTTAGACATTAGGATAAACTATGCCTACAAACTGATACGATTTTCCAATTTTTCCAATTGTCAATTCACTAACCAATCACTTCTACTCGGCTATACGTGATGGTGACAGCTGAGACGGAGAGATCGGCTTCTAAAATTTCACTTATCTATTAGAAAATTGATTTTCGATCAAATCTTGGCCAAATCTAAAGCTTTTTACCATACTAAAGACCTCTAAAAACCTTAAGCTTAGTGTTTTTTGAATGCCAAGAAAGATCAGCAAGTAATGAGAAAGGGTAAAGCTACTTTATCTATGGGATTAACTAATAATTTTTGTTTTCAAGGCTCCGCTCAATTTGCTGGTTGGTAAAAGGTCAACAAATCATTTGAATTAGCCAAATAACACGTAAAATAGCAACAAATCACTCGATTTGAGCGAAAAAAACGCTTAAATTAGCAACAAACGGCCTAAACACTCCATTATCTTGGCATTTCAATGTGAAATGTCAACAAATCACTTGAATTAGCCAAAAAACGCTTAAATTAGCAACAAACGGCCTAAAAACTCCATTATCTTGGCATTTCAAGGTCAGTTGGTACAACTGATACAACTGGTAAAACACTGTTCCACTAGCGTGTCAACGGATATGAAAGGAAACTATGAAGATTGCGCCGAATGGAATTGCCATTTACCAGGGCTTTCATTTTGTGCGATTCTCGTATCAAAATGTAGCCCTTTAATTTCGCTACACGATGGTATAGAAAACTTTTCGAGAAACTATTGTTTAGTACAAGAAACGTGGCGGCAAAGTGCGAGCACCAACACTACACACCCATACAAAAGCCGGTACGTCGTTGTTAGCATTGCGATGTACAAACTCGGGTATTAGCCTCGGTTATTAGCCTTATTAGCCACTCTAAAGCATCCTCCAGCTACCGTAACTTGATCCAAATCTCTATACTATAGATTTGATCTATAAGTCTTCACTTTCCAGTGAAGACACGTTCCAGCTCTTAGTTAGACTTACAGTAATCTTCACGACTACAATAGAAACTAGCTGAGTTACTGTGACTGATTTAAGGGGTACGGTAGTCGAGCCAGGCTTTAAAGCTCCAAACCGAGTCAACGGAAAAGTCTATCTTTTTACCGTGTCTCTGTAGAACTCCGATGATACCGTTCCATCGACCCGAGTCATCCTAAAGTGCATAAATTTCTGTAGCGCGGAAATGAATTCACCTCAATCCCATAGCTCCCATCAACAACCTCGATGATCGTGTAGTTGAACTTTAAAAACTAAAAGAAACTGGTTTTTTGAAATTTCTAAAGACAAAACCCTAGCCATTTCATTGAGCAAATCGATACAGAAACCCTCATATCCACCCGAGGCCGTCTTCATCACAAATGGCTCCTCCTGAATGGGTGAAAGTTTGCGAGTAAAAGTCAGTACTTTGTCAACCGTTTAACAAGCGGATTACTAGGGTTGTACTATAGATAAGTACTATAGATAAGTGCTATAGATAAGTACTATAGATAAGTACTATTGATGTAGCTTAGTGTGCCAATAAAAGCTCAGCTCCAATATCAATAAATTTTTGTTCCACTGCCTAGCTTGATCGGTTTCTTTTTGTCTACAGTACTTCCTTCCAACTAAAACTACCGTAATCCTGTCGTAATTAAAAAAGAACACGTTTTAAAAAACAAATTAGAGACAGAGAAAGGAATACATTACGGTAGGCTTTTCTAGACACTCTAATAGATAGAAATCTTTAGCTAGACTCTCAAGGCTCAAGCAAGGCTATCTATCAAGTCTATAGTTGTATGCCAAACTTGTAGAGCACTTTACTATATTTTAAGTACTTTTTATCAGTGTATCTAATATCTAAAAACATTAAAAGACTTATCTAGTGTCTATCTAGTGTCAAGAATTTTGTGCCCAGACTATGTTATTTGCTTTCTCATTTTTCCAAAGTGTTCAGTTTGATCTCGCTGAAAAATGTCCCAGTTCTTCAATAATCGAACCGGTTTTTTTTTCAGCAATCATTCCCCCTTTCAATGTCCCAAAATGGCAAATAAATTTCGAAACTCAACAGAAACGAGTTCTGCAAATATTCCGTTGAATACTTTTTTTTTTGAATCATCGGCTAATTGAGACGAGAATCGGAACAGTTTTTCTGTTTGGGTTTAATGTTTGGGTTTAATTCAGTAAACAGGTTTTCGAGAACTTTTCAATTGAAAACTTGATGATGAAAGGAAAATTGTTTTAAAATCGTTTTTTAAAATGAAATTTGTTGGTTTATCTGGTAAAGAAGCTTTAAAGGAGCTTTAAAGGAGCTTTAAATGAACCAAATAGGAACTATAAAGGAGCTTTAAAGGAGCTTTAAAGGAGCTTTAAAGGAGCTTTAAATGAACCAAATAGGAACTATAAAGGAGCTTTAAAGGAGCTTTAAAGGAGCTTTAAATGAACCAAATAGGAACTATAAAGGAGCTTTAAAGGAGCTTTAAAGGAGTGTTAAAGGAGCTTTAAAGGAGCTTTAAAGGAACCAAATAGGAACTATAAAGGAGCTTTACAACTTTACCAGATAAACGACGACTCGAAGATGCAAGCCGGCCAGGTCCTCTGCGTCTGGGTCGATGTCGAAATCCCAGCTGAATAGTAGAATATTTTGGAAATAAAACAAATAAATATTAGAAGGGATAGTTTTTAACAAAAAAAATACTAGAATAGCTAGTTTTTTTTTAAAAGTGTACATTATCAAAATGATTTTTAGAAGAGAAACAAAAGAAGAGTCGGAGAGCGACAGTCAACAAGAGTCATAGGCTTTTAGAAGGGAGTTTTTGTATTCCTTGAAAAGTCTACATAAACAGTAGTCTACATAAACATTTACAACATCTAGAGCTTTCTAAAATTAGCCTATCAATTCTTAAAAGATATCAGAAAAGAGAAAAAAAGTAAACTCAACCGATTCGCGTATCGTGGATCGAAACGCCACCCATCGCTCTCCGACCAGTTGCCCAGCTGGAAAATGGTTTAAGTTATTGAAAATTGCTAACTAAAATGATTAAATGATGGATTATAAGAAGAATTCTAAGATCCGCTTATAAGCTGGGCTCAAAATAGAAAAAAAAATCGACTTCGAACTCGCGAACCACACCAATGAGCCACACCGAGCTGTTTGAGAGGGGAACACACTACATATGACAGTGTGCTCCTCTCAAACAAATAATTATTTAAATAGATTTACTATATTTAATTTCATTTACTTAAATAATTTTTATTTGAATAACACGTCAAATAAACGTCAAATAAGGGAGGTGGCTTTTTTGCGCAACTGGGCCTTTTGCGCAACTGGGCCTTTTGCGCAACTGGGCCTTTTGCGCAACTGGGCCTTTTGCGCAACTGGGCCTTTTGCGCAACTGGGCCTTTTGCGCAACTGGGCCTTTTGCGCAACTGGGCCTTTTGCGCAACTGGGCCTTTTGCGCAACTGGGCCTTTTGCGCAACTGGGCCTTTTGCGCAACTGGGCCTTTTGCGCAACTGGGCCTTTTGCGCAACTGGGCCTTTTGCGCAACTTGCCATTACTTTCTTCTAAGTGAACCAATCTTTATGATTTTGGTTTCATTTTGTAGATCTCAACAAGTGTAACAAAATGACACGGGAAAACAATGACAAAATGACACAAAATGTCTTTTTTCTCTCTAGTCAGATGCTTTTATCCCTTTTATTTCACCAATCAGATATTATTATTATTATTATTATTATTATTATTATTATTATTATTATTATTATTATTATTATTATTATTATTATTATTATTATTATTATTATTATTATTATTATTATATTATTAACTTTATTCAACTTTTGTCTTCTTATTTTATCTTGTTTCAATCAAAAAAAAAAGAAATTTCACAAGCTGACTCAAATTTTTGACTCAAAATCAATAAACTCACTGTGCAAATTGTTTACTAAACTTGTCCCACCAAGAAAAAAAAATGCAAAATTTAGTCATTCAATCGTAGATTTTTGCTCATTGATCCACAATTTTTCTTCATTTCTCGACAAAAATTTGAAAGTGAGCAGAATTGAAAAAGCAAAGAGAGCCCTAGCAAAGAGATCCATTTTTCTTGCCTTTACTTTTTCTCTCTTTTTTTATTATAGTTGAATGGGTGAATTGTCTCGAGTCTCTCTCTCTTTTTCAGATTCAATATTGTCCCGATATATTTGATGTGGGCATAGGGGAAAAAGTTTTTGTTTGAAAAGGGGCGGGGTTTAGAAGAGAAAACGAGAGTACAAAAAGAGACAATGGGAGAGAAGTCTCCTCACTCAACTAGTACAGCCTGATTTTCGAGATGAGAACTCAGGTTGGACTTGACTACAAAATTTTGACAAATTTTTGAATATCTTGACATGAAGATTTCCATTCTTACTCGAATCCATAAAGCAATACTGTTTTCGTTTGTCTGGGATTAAGTCTTGACCTGAAATCCTTGTCCTTGTCCTCATTTATATTCAAATCTAGGATATAAATGGCATATGATGATATATTTAGGTTGGAACTAGAGTAGATCAAAAACTTGTGTCCCGCCGGGACTCGAACCCACGACCTTTCGCTTACTGGGCAACTTTGCTAACCATCACGCTACAACGGACTTGATCTGCGCGACTCAAGAGGGAGTTAACTTCCCTCGTCTCTGGACGACTTAACACCCTCTGGAGTAAAGGAGGTCAACTGTGTTGTGGTGTAATGGTTAGCACAGTTGGCCGGTAAGCGAAAGGTCGGGAGTTCGAGACCCGGCGGCGCACAACTTTTTGCTCTGCCTTAGTTCCAACTTTTATATGTTCTTGATCTAATCAGTCAGTAGTTAATATCAAGATAATTTTTCTAGATATTCGTTACTTTATAACATTATAGATATTAGTTACTTTATAATATTATAGATATTATTAGATTGAGTACTAAATCTTGTTTGAGACTTGTTTTTTAGATAATGAAATGAAAGGTGCAAACCTTTAATTTCATTATCTATCGCAAACGATCCAGTTGCGCAAAAAAAATTGCGGAAACTAGCCTACCCCAAAAAAATGACGCAAAAATGACGAGCCCCCCATTATATACGACACTTTTTAAAGATACTCAGCCGTTTAACTGACTTGGTGGGAAATTCCCGCCCAATGTCAAGAATTATTTTTTTTGAAAAATCTGCGCAAAAATTGCGCAAATTGCTTTTATATTTTTTTTTCGCACAGGCGCACTTTTTAGAAAACGCATTACTCGACAATTACTCATGCAAATTTACTCGAGTAATTACTTATTCGCGAGGAACACACTCTATTAAAAACTCTTTAGACAATAAACTATTTAAAGATATTATTTATAGATCTAGATATTAGTTTATATTAGTTATATTAGTTATGTTAGTTATATTAGTTATATTACTTATATTAGTTATATTAGTTATATTAGTTCTAAAGCGTCGAATTCGAATCTTATCTACACAAAGAGTTTCGTTTTTTCAGTCGATTTCCCTTCTATTCTTCGTGATCGGATATGTTTTGTGTCAACCACCGATGGGCGGTCAACAACAACCACAAGATCCACCATTTTTGCAAGGGGTTATTTCTAAGTCTAAATTTTAAAACGATAAACCTACTGTAAACACGTATTGTACTATAAAATTTAACTTTAAAGCTATAAATCTATAAATCTACTATGTACTTTTAGTTTAAAGCTTAACGTTTAGTTAGATCGTTTAGATAAACTTTACTAGTAACTTAGATAAACTAGTAACTTAGATAAACTAATTATTTAGATAAACTAGTAATTTAGATAAACTAATAATTTAGATAAACTAATAATTTAGATAAACTAATAATTTAGATAAACTAATAATTTAGATAAACTAATAATTTAGATAAACTAGTAATTTAGATAAACTAATAATTTAGATAAACTAGTAATTTAGATAAACTAGTAACTTAGATAAACTAGTAAATTGTATCTTGTACGCTACTAAAAGAGATTACGCTAAATTGGCCATGTTTTAAGAAATATTTAGGCCTCTGACTCAGTCAAATCGAGCTTCCGAGCACTCTTTGAAAACACCGACAATTTTACGGAGAAACAAATGGATGACAAAGTGAATGCATGGATTGCACAACAGTCAACGACTATTCAGGTAATAAAAGAAAACAAATAAAGCTTATCTTTTAAAGGGATTTTGAATTTAGAATCAGTATAAACAGTTTCAACAACAAATGAAACAAATGAAGCAACAAGCACAACAAGCCCATCAACGAGCCGTCCAAACGCTCAGCTCCGGCGCCAAGCAAGCCGATGCTGATCTCATAAAGGTGTTTAAGCTCACTATTACATCAGAGAATGGATGAATGGAGAATTTATATTTACAAGCAGTAACTGTTGATGGATTGGGTTAAAAAACTAGATTAGCTGAACCTGAAATAGGAAATTTTGGTCAGGCAAAAATAGGAAAGAGAAACTTTAAGAGATAAAGGGAAAATGTTGAGAAAATGCTGAGAAAATCAGTAGATAGAACGCTCAAGTAAGATCGCATTATTCTCAAAGTTTAGCTACAGTTTAAGTGATGCAATGAGGTAGGATTTGGCAGAACCTGCAGGACCTGAGGTAGGAATTGAACCTGCGGGCAAAAATGGGATGGATTTGGGAGCCTAGCAGACTATCCTCTAGGCCACCGCTGCTTTTATTTCTTTTGATGTGGCTTCCTTTTATTCCTTTTATTCCTTATAGGTGAGGTTTGCCAGATCGCGAGCGATTACGCGGCCGCGCAAAGAATTCTTCGTTTGGATTCTTTTTTTGCTTTGTAGATCGCACAAAAAGAAGATATTTAGCTGTAAATTTTTAAATAAGGAGTACTGTAGGAGCAGATACACAATAACCTTTTGTACTTCATAGTAAAATACTATAAAGTATATGCCCAGGGGTTTTCGGGGACGGGGAATCGTTTGGCGCTATTCATTTTATTGTTTTCTCGTTAGATTTTAGCTTCTAGATGAATGCGTCTTTAAGTCTTAAACGTTTAAACTACGATCTAATGCGATCTAATGCGAAATTTCAGATCACCGACAACGCCAATTTGACTCCAGCGCAGAAGAATCAACAAATCAGCGACTACATTTCGAAATTGCAAAAGAGTAACCCGTCGGTGGCGGCCGAGATTCAACAACTCATGCAACAAGCACCGCAAATGATGTTTTAGATTTATTGTGTACATTTTGTTTATCACTTATTTTTGGATCTCTTCTAATCGTTCTTTCTTTTGATAAAGTTTTACCTTAACAAATTGAGGGCTAATCCGACGGACACCATAAAATCGGGTTTCGGGTCAATTCAGATCGCATTATTCTCAAAGTTTAGCTACAGTTTAAGTGATGCAATGAGGTAGGATTTGGCAGAACCTGCAGGACCTGAGGTAGGAATTGAACCTGCGGGCAAAAATGGGATTAACCCGTCGGTGGAGGCCGAGATTCAACAACTCATGCAACAAGCACCGCAAATGATGTTTTAGATTTATTGTGTACATTTTGTTTATCAATTATTTTTGGATCTCTTCTAATCGTTCTTTCTTTGATAAAGTTTTACCTTAACAAATTGAGGGCTAATCCGACCGACACCATAAAATCGAGTTTCCTTTCGGCGACCATATGTGTCGAAAGAGATCTCGCCGGTGATTTGATGGGGAAGACGAAGCTAAAGTTCACTGGATTTTTTAAAGCATCGATCGTTTACCGTAATCCTAGACCACTGAGTAGAGGTTACAGTAATCTATGATCTATAAAACAATCTAATCTATAAAACGACTCTACTGTAACTCTAACCCAACAAGCTATGTTACAGTAATCCGTGCAGTTGGTTATTGTAGTTGTAAAACTACGGATTACGGTACGGTAGACTACTATAACTATTATAGCTACGGATTACGGTAGACGAGTCATCCTTTAAAGCGCTAAGTAGAGCCTTTTGTGATTACGATAGCTGGGTGAAGCTTTAGAGCACCGATACGAGACGACTTTTTTTCCGAAGTACTGTAGGAGCAGATACACAATAACCTTTTGTACTTCATAGTAAAATACTGTAAAATATAACACTAACACTAGTCTACAGTAGCCAATGTATTTAGGTAATACCGTAATCGTAAAGACCTAAAAAAGTAAAGTAAGGATTGGCAAAGAAAGCTTTCCGAAGAGGGGATTGAACCCTCGACCTTCCCTCGACTTTTTTTGCTTTCCGGGCAGATACTCTAACCACTGAACTATCCGTTTTTGCCAGAGAAGAAACAGGAAATACAAGGGGACGAGGAAGGAAGAAAGAGAAAGGAAGAAAGAGAAAGGAAGAAAGAGAAAGGAAGAAAGAGAAAGGAAGAAAGAGAAAGGAAGAAAGAGAAGAAAGTCAAAAGAATTACAGACAAGTCTACCGTAACCCTAACTCAATAAGTAAATGTTACAGTAGTTTTTCCAGTTACAGTGTTACAAAGTATAAAATACAAATTCTTCTTAATTCTTAGATGCACTCACATTTCTGATCGCTTCATGCATTCGTCGTCCATCTTTCCACGTGTCTTTCGCGTCGCAGAGCAGCGATGCAGTTCGCGGTGGTTGACCAAGCTAAATTTTCGAAAACTATTTAAAAACCTAATGAATTTAGTATTTAGATAAAAATCTATTGTTAATATTCGTATTTTCAGCCCAACCCTTACCTCTTTCAATCGGGAAACCGCATGACCAATTGTCCAAACAGTTTCCGTGGTGAGGGCTAATTCCGTCTAAGATTTTTAGATAAAGATAAAGATAAAGATAATCATAATTATTATACATGTCGTAGCCGTTTACGAAATTCAGCCGCTAACGAATCATTCATTAACGGCTAGCCGCATTGGGCACGTCGTTACTCGATTCAATGTATTGAGCAATCAACGATACTCTACAATCATGGAGACCAACGGAGCGAACGAACAACCAAAACGAGTCGTCAAGAAAGAGGAACTCTTCGATGTTTTGACGTCGACTTACAAAAGATTAGGACACGCCGGGGTCGAGAGAACTGAGAGGAGGATCTGATGTAGAAAGAACTGTGAGGAGATTATCACGGGATCTCAAAGGAAATACTCGAGATTTTTATCAAACTTTGCCCGGAATGTGAATTAAAGAAGGGGACGAAAAAAAAGGGGTTGTTGTGAAGCCAATCATAACGATGGAGCAAAATGAACGCTACCAAGTCGACTTAATTGATCTTCAATTGGTTCCGCATGCATTTTAGTTGATGTTTTGTTTGTTATAAACGTTATTATGTTATAAACGTTAATATGTTATACATGTTAAATGTTATACAGGTTAAATATTGTAAATTTTATTCCATTTGTTTTGATTAGTTTACTGATTTGCGTTTTGCATAAATAGTTTGAAATCAAAAACTCATTTGAAACGAGCCATGTTGGCAGAAGCCGATTACAAATTGTACACGGCTAGGGAAAAAATGGTTCGTAATTCGTAATCGAATTGGCTAGCCGTTAACGAATGTAATCGGCTAGCTGCCGTTAATAAATGTAAAGCAGGAGTCACCGAACCACTATCGGCAGCGGAAGTCCTCCGTGCGCCACGGTAGCGGATGTAGGTCCGTGAGGTAAAGGAGAATGGCACTCCTAAGTACCCGGGTACTTTCAAGCCAAGGAAATTGTCGGAAAGCTGAGGGGTGCACAGCTCAAACAACGCTTAACGAATGTAATCGGCTAGCCGTTAACGAACGATTCGTTAACGGCTGAATTTCGTAAGCGGTTACGACATATATATAAAACTATAATATAGATTTCCTAAAATATTAACTCACTTTCATCATCGGATCGTTCTTCACCAGCTGCAACCCAGTAATATTGCAATGGAATGGGCCGATCGCGTTGAAGAAATCTTCAAGAAGGGATAAATCCTGGAAAGGATTATTATAATACTTATTATTATATTAAACATTGGCTATTTTCTAAAGAAATGAATCTTTTACCGTATGCGTGAACACATAGGAGTACGGTTGTTCGGTCATGTTCATCCCGCGAGCCAACTGGATGAGACTGTAAAGAACGGTGATGTTGCTCGAGTGGATCACCTGAAATTTGAGAAAAATTCGATTAGCTTCAAGGTATAAAGATTTTGCTAACAATAGATTAAATATAGAAATTCATTTCTAGAAGTAAGTAATCGAAATCTAAAGCTAATTTTAATCTAAAGCTTATTTTTAAACTTTTTGACCTCAATAGACTCCTTGATGGTGTCTTTTATGCTCAAAATAAATAAAAAAAAATTCTAGCCCACTGAATTTTCTCTATTTCAAGAATGAAACCAGTGCACTAGAAAGGTGAGTTTGAGCACAAGGTTTGAGCACAAAGTTTGAGCATAAGGCTTGAGCATAAGGTTTAGACATAAGGTTTAGTTAAGCATAAGGTTTAAACATAAGGTTTGAGCATAAGGTTTAAGCATAAACTAAAAGCATAAGGGTTAAGCATACAGTTTAGGCACAAAGTTTAAGCATAAGGTTTAAGCACAAAGCATACAGAAACATCTCAAGGTCGGCTATTTCAAGAAGTCAACAATTCAGTACACCAGAAAGGGTGCATTTACAATTTGCAATACAATTAAGGGTTCAATTTCCCCGTAAACCCACGATATTCGTTTGTTTCAATCGATTCCTTATGTACTTCAAAAATGGCTCGAACTCGTCGGTGTTGTTCGGCAATCGTTTCACCTAAAAGCGATTTGATTTTTAAAATTTTCCAATACATCTACCGTATTTATTCTAATGGAAGAGCTCGCGTTTAGATGAATTTTTTCATTTTTTTTGAATGTTTGTTAACGGATCGGAAAATGCTCAACATTTTTAACGTCTTTCAAATGCTTTAAATAATAGTTATAGCTAAAAATAAAGCTTAATGACGTCAAAAATCGGATGAAAATCCAACAAAACATTCATTTTTCAGCTCTTGGATATACTGTAGTTAGGGGAAGAAAAAGAATTTCATAGGGACATTGGAAAATACCTTGTTCTTCTATTAGAATTTTTACGGTACATACCTCTTCAATATACCGTATTTTCTCTAATAGTAGTGCACTCAGAGCGTCGCCTAAATTGCTCGAAATCTCGAGAACCGCTTATCAGAACCTATCGATGTGGGATCGGAAAATGTAGCTGATGATGAGATCTTGCGGGGGATTTGAGTGTTGAGCTTCTGCGAGAACTTTGGAAGCCGTAAAATAGTCACCAACTCGGCTCGCCGACGTGCACTACTATCAGAGAAAATACGGTATAATACAAAAAAAAATTAAAAATTTGAAGAAAGGCATTAAAAACGAGGGGTTTGTGAGAAAAAACGAGTACTTTTCTGTTATAAGCATAAAAGTTGTTATCGTAATAGTAGCGCCCCCCTATAATGACTGGGGGAGCCCCCACCCAATAATGACTGGGGGGAGCATCGCGTAGTCTAACTTTAAACGCATCTTTCTTGCCACCCGTTTATGCTACAGTGTGCGCTTACGTATCAAATGAAAGCTGAAATTCAGAGCTATTTTTTGATACCAAACATGAACGTTTAGAAACTATAGACGCTTTGAAAAAAATGATTTAGTAAGAATGCTTTTGCGACTACGCGACTGTACGGGATAAGGTGGGCTACTATTAGATGGATTACGGTATATGCTTCTTGTTTATAACAGAAAAATCTCCCAAAAAAGAAACATGCACTATCAGCGAAAGAAACCCTCCTATAATACCTTGACGATAATTTTCGGCGTTGGCGGTCCGAGATCATTCTCTTGCTGTAGAGTGAAGAATTTTTTTTTTGTTTTTCAGAATTAAAGAAAGATGACTTTTAGAGATTGTATATAAAAATTGTGTGCAATTAAATCGCTTAGAATTTTCATAAAACTCGATTTTCATCAATTTCACCAAAACCAACCTTGACAACAGGTCGAAAAGTTGAGTGATCGTTCTCATTTCGATCAAACATCAATGGAGCCACGTCTTCGAGATCTCAAATATGTAATTGTTTCGTTAAAAGTCATGCAAATCATTTCTACAGTATCCAGACGAAAAATATATGAAAAAAATATGAAAAAATAAGCGCTTATAAGTTGAATAAAAATCATTTACCGGTGTTGCTTTGATATGCGAGTAGAAATGAGGTCCACCGAAGAGTGTCGATGAATTCACGTGTTGCTTGCGCTGCGAGGCCTCTAGAAAAAGCTTAGATTCTTTAAAAATATATACCGTAAATACTGTAGTAGTACCCCAGCCCCATAATGACGGTGCGGAGTGTTGCGTAGTCTAGCTTTGAACAAGTTTTTCTCAACACTGGTTTATGCTACAATGCGCGCTTAGGTATCAAAAAATAGCCCTGAATTTCAGCTTTCATTTGATACCTAAGCGCGCATTGTAGCATAAACCAGTGTCGAGAAAAACTCGTTCAAAGCTAGACTACGCAACACTCCGCACCGTCATTATCTTTGGTATCAAAAAATAGCCCTGAATTTCAGCTATTTTTTGATACCAAAGACGCATTTTTTGAAAGTACGGGCGCTTTGAAAAAAATGAAATACTAAAAAACTTTGGCGACTACGCGACTGTACGAGGCGGGTGGGGTACTATTACAGTATTTACAGTATGCTTATAAGTTCTTACATAATATAGTAAATATTAAAATATTTTTTTTTACCGTCTTGGTCCCATTTGCGAGAGGAAATCACTGACCGTCGTGGAAGGACCGAAATTGTGAACGGCAAGGCATGGAATCTGGAAAAGTAGAAGTTTATTTTGATATTATGCATACAGTAAAAGGTCTATGGATACAGTAACCTGTAAGTGATGGCACATGCTGTGTAGCATCGGTGAGTCAAGCCGCGGCTCGCTCGGTGGTACAATGATGGCCACCACCGAGTGTTGCACGACTTCGCATACTGAATGAATAAGTAAATCTTATTATCTAAATACTGTTTACAATAGGTATAAATAAGTAGATATTGTGCAGAAAAGTAGCTCTTTTCTGTGAAATCTTATTTGATGTTTTGATTTTGAATATCTCTGATTCACTTGTCTTTCCTTGAAAAATAAAGAACTAAAGATCGTTTGTGTGATAAAAAGGGATGGAGCCTACTTTGTATTTGCTTTTCTTTGGCTTTGTTTTCTTTGGCTTTGTTTCGTTGGTTCACTGTTTCACACAACCAACGATTGATTCTATTTATTAAATTCTCTTGCTAGATTAGTGATTGTGCTATATTCGGAATAAAATATCTAAATAATCATTGCCCCATCGGTACCCTTCTCACGCACTGCACAGGCGTGTTTACTCTTTTTAGCTTAAAGTGTGCCAGAGAAGGAGAGAAGAAAGGAAAAAAATTGCGCTTATTTTCATTTCAAATTTCTTTAGTAGGTCTCATTTTTGAAAGAAAATCAATCTTTTTCAAGTGCCAGTGGGTTTATTTTTCAAATGACAAGAGAAAATGACGAATTCAGTGCACCAGAAAGGGCGTTTTGCAGAAAAGTAGTTCTTTTCTGTGAAATTTTATTTGATGTTTTGATTTTATCTCTGAATATCTCTGATTCTCTTGTCATTTCTCGAAAGATAAAGATCTAAAGATCGTTTGTGTGATAAAAAGGAACGGAGCCCACTTTGTATTGCTTTTCTTTGGCTTTGAAACACGGAACCAACGATTGATTCTATTTATTTTATTTTCTCACTAGATTAGTGATTGTGCTATATTCGGAATAAATATCTAAATACCGTATTTTCTCTAATAGTAGTGCAAGCCGAGTTGGTGACTATTTTACGGTTTCCAAGCATTTGCAAAAGCTCAACACTCTAATCTCCAACTAGACCTCATCGTCAGCTACATTTTCCGATCCCACATCGATAGATTCTGATAAGCGGTTCTCGAGATTACGAGCAATTTAGACGACGCTCAGGGTGTACTACTATTAGAGAAAATACGATAATCATTGCCCCATCGGTACCCTCTCACGCACTGCACCGATATTAAATCTAAAGCAATTCATTGAATTTTTTTCTTACCCCGTTCTTCTATGGGTGCCAAGCCAGCACTAGGCGAAGCGATCCGAAAGGCGACCTCAGTATGTGTGGCCTGAATGAAGAGACTTTTATTTTGGATTTAAAATAAGTTTTTTTTTTTTCAAAATATTAACCGTAATTATTTTAATAGAAGAACCACTCTCCAATAGGTATTCCCTTCAATTACAGGATCAAAAAGAGTGATCAAAAATTTCCCCCGCACACTTGTAAATGATTCATTTTCTCATATGAAAGCTAAAACAAAACTTCCCCATTTTTTCTAGTATTAAGCTGAAAGCCGTAAGTAATTGGCTTATTGATTTCAGTATGTATTGTATGATTAAGTATCACTGTGCATTTCTCTATGATTTCTTTCACTTTATCGTTTGAATAAAGTATTATTATATTATAAAGTCTGATGAACATTTATAAGTAAATCACACCGATCAAAAAACTCCAGCTTTTTCAAGAAGCCTTGCAATGCATTCAAGGTGATTTCCCTAATTTCCTATTTGTTTGGTGTTTTTTTGTGGTTTTAAAATAAGTTCTAAGTTTTAAAGAGGAGATTTTATTCTTTTAAAATAACAATTTCAACTGTGAAAGAAAAGTTTCAATTTAAAAAGACTTTTTGAAGGATTGTCATTTGAAAACCGGGTCAAATAGGTGAGCCCGATGATAGTTTCCCTTCAGCGCACTACAATGCTTTTTTGGAGAGCTAGGCGGCTCTGGTTAGGATGATTTAGGTGTAGAGATGCTCTCCAGGATTTCAGCTTTAAAATACTATATAGTGAGTCGAGTTTCGATTTGGATTTTAGCTGAAAAATGGAGCTTCTTTTGTAAAGTGTGTGGGAACTTTTTGATCATCCAATAATTACGGTGAGTTTTCTTTAAAACATAATAAACATACCGTAAATACTGTAACAGTACCCTACCCCCATAATGACGGTGCGGAGTGTTGCGTAGTCTAGCTTTGAACGCGTTTTTCTCGACACTGGTTTAAGCTACAATGCGCGCTTAGGTATCAAAAAATAGCCCTGAATTTCAGCTATTTTTTGATACATAAGCGCGCATTGTAGCTTAAACCAGTGTCGAGAAAAACTCGTTCAAAGCTAGACTACGCAACACTTCGCACCGTCATTATGGGGCTGGGGTACTATTACAGTATTTACGGTATGTTAACTGTTAGAAAAGATAAAATCTAATGATAAGATACGATAATTTATTTAGATTTATTAGGTTTTTAAAATTTCACCTGTTCACTATTCCACCGTTCGACTGCATATCGAAGATTTTCATAGGGAAGACTTCCCTTCAGTGATGTCGTTCCTAAAATATAGCTTTTCTCTAATTTTAGATTTTTAACTTTAGATTTTTACCTATATTAACAGTGATTGCTTGTAGATTTGACAATAAAGTGAAGAATATAAATATTAGACGGATTTTTATTGAACGGCCTCGTGGGCACCATGCCCGCATCCCGCAACATGCACACCCCAACAACAACGAGACACCCCGCAAAGAGGATTGATCTTTGATCTGAAATATTGGAAATTATGACAAATAATTACAAATATAAATCAAACTCAAAAAATAAGAAAAAGTTAGTAAAAAGTTTTCGTTTAAAAATTTGAATTTGAAAATTTGAAAAATAAGTTTCAAAATCAAAAAGCGAATTTCATCTTGTGCTCTTTGTGTCTAACTTTAAACGCAACTTTCTTGCCACCCTTTTATGCTACAGTGAGCGCTTACGTATCAAATGAAAGCTGAAATTCAGAGCTATTTTTTGATACCAAACATGAACTTTTAGAAACTATAGACGCTTTGAAAAAAATGATTTAGTAAAAATGCTTTTGCGACTACGCGACTGTACAGGGTGAGAGCGCTTATCAGAACCTATCGATGTGGGATCGGAAAATGTAGCTGATGATGAGATCTTGCGGGGGATTTGAGTGTTGAGCTTCTGCGAGAACTTTGGAAGCCGTAAAATAGTCACCAACTCGGCTCGCCGGCGTGCACTACTATTAGAGAAAATACGGTATAATACAAAAAAAAAATTAAAAATATGAAGAAAGGCATTAAAAACGAGGGGTTTGTGAGAAAAAACGAGTACTTTTCTGTTATAAGCATAAAAGTTGTTATCGTAATAGTAGCGCCCCCCCCCCCAAATAATGGCGGGGGGAGCATCGCGTAGTCTAACTTTAAACGCATCTTTCTTGCCACCCGTTTATGCTACAGTGTGCGCTTAAGTATCAAATGAAAGCTGAAATTCAGAGCTATTTTTTTGATACCAAACATGAACTTTTAGAAACTATAGACGCTTTGAAAAAAATGATTTAGTAAAAATGTTTTTGCGACTACGCGACTGTACAGGGTGAAGGCGCGCTATTATTAGATGGATTATCGTATATGCTTCTTTGTAAATGTAATATTGTAAATTATTACAAATATTAATCAAAATTAAAATCAAAGAAAAAGTTAGTAAAAAGTTTTCGTTTAAAAATTTGAATTTGAAAATTTGAAAAATAAGTTTCAAAATGAAAAGTGAATTTGATCTTGTGCTCTTTGTGGTCTTTAAAAATGTAAACACAAACTTTCTAACGCATTGAATTCTTAGCTTTTCTTCTAAAGGCAAATTTTGGCTATAAGAAATTAATAAGCTACAAGAAATGAAAGAATTATTGAAATAGAAAGCTTGCGTTTAAAAAATTTAGCCCAAAGTATACTTTGAATCAAAAAATGACCGATGAAAAAGTCATTTTTGAATTCTTTTTATAAGATCATTGATCCAAATGTCATTTCCAGTCGTTCTTTTTTTCTTTCTTTCTTTCTTCCTTTCTTCCTTTCTTGCTTTCTTTCTTTCTTTCTTGCTTTCTTCTTTCTTTCTTTCTTTCTTTCTTTTCTTCTTTCTTCTTTCTTTCTTTCTTTCTTCTTTCTTTCTTTCTTTCTTCTTTCTTTTCTCTGAGGAAAGCTCGCTCAACCATATCAAAGCCGAGATTTCGTTGCATAAATAATTATCTGAAAAGAAAAAAAGATTTGCAAAAAGTTTCGATAAAATTAGATTTTGTTCAAAATGAAAATCATGATTCAGCAAGCAAATTTCGATTTTCATTTTCATTTTTGAGTTTCAGTGGGCGAAATGAAATGAGAAATGCACGCATCGCGTGTTTTCAAAAAAAAAAACCGCTCACTTTCAGTCATTTCAGTCAAAATTGAGAGTCATTTTTGAACTTCTCAAGAATTCAGAATTCCTCATTTTTTTTTTTTTTTGCAAAATTCTTTTTAAAGAACGAATCTTTAGGGAAGCCTCGGTGTCTGTGTGGATTTTGATTCCGGGAACAGGGCAAGTATCGATCTGAGATTCGACTTTTGAAGAAGTAAAATCATCAGAAATTGCTAAAATGTGAGCAATGATTTGCAAAGAAATGAGAACTGAAAATAAGCTTACGATAAATAAAGGTTATGCTTTAAATTCTCAGCCTAAGCTCATGTAGTTTTGTTTTGGTTCAAGTAGTTGGGCCGACCAGGAGCCAGGTTTGAATCTGAAATATTCATTGCCTGGTCTGGCTTGATTGGCAAAAGGTAGTTCAAATCTAAGCTTTAGTACTTGGGTCAGGGGCCAGGCGTGGAACTAACTAACAAGTAAGACTAAACAAGTAGTAAGTAAGTAGGAGCCAGGCTTGAATCTGCAGCATTTTTTTGACCTGACCAGCATCTAGCTGACCTGAGCTAGCACACGAAAAGCACCAGAGTCAATCAGAGTCAAACCTGCCAGACTCTCCAGCAAAAAATGGCTTTAGCTACCAGCCGAAAAGTCCGCCTAACAGCGGGTTTTTTTGGACCGACAGCTGGTCCTCGCGGTGGAGTCGGTGGCGCGCTTGTGTACCACCCAAAGCAAAGCGGGTTCGACTCCCCGTAGTGGCATTCGATTTTTACTTTTTAAATTTTTAATTTTAAATGGCACAACTACAATATATTCTAAGGTTTTCTAGAGAAGTTTTAGCTTTATTGACTCAAAAACGGCTGAGAAAAAGCCCGTACAGCAGACAGAAAGACAATGCTCTTTTATAAAGTATAGAACTAAAGTTAAAAACGCTGGAGATCCTATGATCATCAGCAAAAAGAGAAAAATCCCTCAAAAAGGCCACCAGCTGGATGGATATCGAAATGATTGGATGAGCTGGGGAAAAAGACTAATGAATTCTTTCTCAAAAAAAAATATTGAAGACGAGAAAAAAGACTAAAGAAATTTGTGGACGAATGAATTCTTTCAGAAAAAAAAGAGATTCCCTTTGGACAAAGATTGACCTTTCTTCTTGTCTTTTCTTGTCTTTTTCTTTGTTTTTTCAATATTATTGACTAAAGCACAAAACAGGGAAGTCTATTGGGATTAATTAGAGGATTTCCAAACAAAATTTTAAAAAAAACCTTTTCCCGTATCAAACAAATTTCGGCACTCTGACGCAGTCAGGAAGAAAATAGAAAGCTAGGGAAAATTTAGAAGCAAAAGACAAGCAAATGTTGTCCCGGTTTAGATCTTCTGGCTTGAAAATGAAAACGCATCCTTTCTGGCGCACTTAAGGCTTCATTTTTCTTTGTCGTACCGCAAAAGAAGGTGAAAACTCACTATCAGTGTGTCCAAAGAGGTGTGTCTTTTAGCCCAAAATAAAAACACTTACTATTAGTGGATTCTATCTTTTTTAATCTTTCAGAATAGGATTCATCGCATTTCAAACGACCAATCCATTCAAAAGAATAAGAAGAGTGGAATACCTGCATAAAGGCTTACTCACAAGTACTCTAAAGTCCAAAGCATGCAATATTATCCAAAGTCAGTTCAAGTACTCTAAAGTCCAAACATAGTCCAAGAGTGTAAATCTGTACTTAAAGTCCAAATATAGCCAAGTACCTAAAGTCCAAAGTATATCAAGTACGTAAAGTCTAAAGTACAGTCCAAAGTATAGTCCAAGTACTGTAAAGTCCAAAGTACAGTTCAAGTACTCTAAAGTCCAAAGCACAGTCCAAGTAGTGTAAAGTCCAAAGTACAATTCAAGTACTCTAAAGTCCAAAGCATAGTCCAAGTAGTGTAAAGTCCAAGTACTGTAAAGTCCAAAGTATAGTCCAAGTACTCTAAAGTCCAAAGTATAGTCCAAGTACTCTAAAGTCCAAAGTATAGTACAAGTACTGTAAAGTCTAAAGTACAGTCCAAAGTATAGTCCAAGTACTCTAAAGTCTAAAGTTTAGTCCAAGTACTGTAAAGTTCAAAGTACAGTCTATTTCCTGTAACCAGAATCAAAAACTTTCCTTGAAACGTAAGCCTTGGAATCTTTGAAACGTTTAAAGTTTAAACTTGATATACTAGAATGTTTAGTTATTAGGACAGTACCTTTAACACGTTGACGACATTGTCACCTGATGCTGTCTGACACATATTCGTTCGCCTGGGACATTGCCACCTGGTGTCAGGTGACATTTTTTGTCGAAAAAAAACAACGTTGTCCCATGCGATTGTTTGTGCAAAAACGCCATTGTCGTCAACGTGTTAAATCAGTTTTTGAGTCACTGATAACTATCAGATAAAATCCTAGTAAAATAATTTAAAAAAACAAAAACGAAGCTCCAATTTTTTGGGAAACTCATCGATGTGTGAATAATCGGAAGTGGTGAGGTCGGTGAAGAGGAAGGAGGTGTGGTTCACAAAAACTTTACTCAAAATCTCCGTAAAGAGAGTTGTTCTTTCCGGGGGAGTGGGTTTTTTTTATAAAAATTCACCTCTTTTCTTTTTCGAAAAACTTTTCCTTTTTGCTAACTGATTCCCATTCTTTGTCGGAGCTGTCTCACAAAAACCCGACACATACACAATTGGGTACGAAAATGAGCAAGAAAAGGAATAGAGCACGGGTTTTTGGAGAGGTTTTGAGGATTGAGAGCTTTGGAGGAAGGTTTGAAGGAAGGTTTGGAGTCAAAGAATTAGAAAAATGAAATTGTATATGTGAAATTAAAGATAAAGAATAGATAAAGCAGGTAGATTGATAAAATCCCACAAAAAGTATTAGCAGATTGCCAAAATCGCACTGAAATCGAATTTTTGAAAGTACGGGTGCTTTGAAAAAAATGAAATACTGAAATACTAAAAAACTTTTGCGACTACGCGACTGTACGAGGAGCAGGTGGGGTACTATTACAGTATTTACGGTAAGTCATTCAAGCTCACAATTTTGACATACATTTTACTTGCCGGCTTGACAGACATACAATTCAATTTAGCTTTTTCAACTTTTTCAACAATTCAAACCCGTGACCACTCGCTTATCAGATAAACACTGATACCAATGGATCAATCAATCTCTATCAATCAATCTCTATCAATCAATCTCTATCAATCAATCTCTATCAATCAATCTCTATCAATCAATCTCAATCAATCAATCTCTATCAATCAATCTCTATCAATCAATCTCATCAATCCTATCAATCAA